CCTCCCAAACACCTCCTACCGTCTTGTATCGCTGGGACACGTCTCTCTTTAGCTGCTGCATCGTCTGTGCAACGTAACATGTGTCACAACACATCGCGCATAGACTGCTGCGCTCTTATCCTCGGCCAACACGTCCCTCGCCCTCACCTGTCAACACCGTCTCGTCTTGTTTTATGTCTTGCCGCAGTGTATAATGTAGCGCATCGAGTACCTGGCATATTAAGATGAGTGTCTTAATACTGCCGGCCAGCGCGTCCTCCAGTGAGTGACATGCTCACGCCGTACCACGTTCTCGCAAACATCTCCTTGACAGTCTTGCCATGTCGCTACGCGTCCTCTACAGCTGCCATACATTCCGTACAATGTAGTGCATTGTGTGCCCGGTGCATCGTGATGAGTGTGCTACTCCCGGCCTGCGACTCCTCGAGTCAAGAGTCACCGTGCCGCGCTCGGCGTGCCCATCTCCACTGCCTTTCCCGCGTCTCGTTCAAGCATCGTCCGCAACGTGTGTGTCCATCCCCTCCCTCCCTCCCCCCATTCTCTCTCCGCAGCTACCCTAACCACTTCGAACGTCCAAAGCGGTACGATCCGCGCTCTCACCTTCGGCCAGCACATCCTCCACCGTCACCTGGAACCTGCCCACACCGAAAGCTTTCCCGACGAGGCCGCCGCCGCCGCCGCTGCCGCCACCGCCGCCGCCGCCGCCCCCGTCTCGCCTCGCGTCGAAGAACTTCTTCATGGCCCCGGCCACACCGACATGCCTGGGGCTGTCGCCTCGCTGCCACTCCTCGCTCCCCACTACTTGGCTCTGATGATTGTGGAGGGTAAAATTATTTTACATTAAAAAAATAACCCCTCGGCGGCTCCGATTCAAACGGCGGCCTCGGGTCCCGAGCCTCCTGCTGCTCCTCGTCGTCTTGTTGTTGTTGTCGCTGTTGTTGTCGCTGCTGTTGTCGTTGTTGATGTTGTTGTCGCTGTTGTTACCGCCGCTGCTGCCGCTGCTTCTTCTTCTCACTTCCCCACTGAGGCGAGACAACAACATGGCGCGCCGCCGCCCCACAATGCAGCGCGGCGCTGGCTGCTGTGACCGCGCGCGCGCGCCAGACAAAGGCGCCCGGGAAGCCCCTGCGCGCTGCTGGGGCAAGGGCGAGGAGCCAGCCAGCAGCGCCGACCTGTGGAGGGGCCTGGCACTGTAACGCACGAGGGGGTTGTGGGTGGCCAGCGACACACACAACTACACACACAACTACACACACACACAACTACACACACAGCTACACACACAGCTACACACACAACTACACACACACACAACTACAACAACAACCGCCATTCGCCACTAAGTGGCGGTGACGTCACCATGACGCTTGTGCCAGGCTATGTGCACCCTGAGGCCACGTGAAGTGTCGAACACCCGCTGGCAGGAGGTCACGGGGCAGACCCAGGTGCCACGGGTCGACTGACTTAGATGACTGGCTGATGCACCACCTGTGCCCCCTACTGTGCCAACCTGCTGTGCTTTAGCCACCCGGCGCTCCGCTCGTTGTTCTGAGCGTCGCTCCTCCACCCTCCGTTGTTGTTGGAGGGCGACTGCCTCCAACTGCCCAGTAGCGTCCTTCACGAGCCTCCTCCACAGAGGCCGATCTTGACACCGCTGGTACCAGTCACCGGCAAGTCCACTCAGCTCCACGTCCTCCTGTACCACATCACTCCATCTCTTCTCTAACCCGTGCCGCGCCCGCTTAGCCCCCTCGATCCGGCCAAACAAAAGCTGTTTCGGCATGCGGTGGCCGAGCATGCGGGCTACATGACCCAGCCATCGCAGCCTTGCCTGCCGGAGGAGCTCACCGATGGGACCCTGCCCAGATCTTTCAAGGATTTGTGAGCTCCTAACACAATCCAGTCTGGTTAAACCCAGGATGGATCGTAGGCAGGCCAGCCTAAATGTTTCTAACCGGCGAAGATGTTCCATTAGGGGGGTCCACGTTTCGCAAGCGTAGAGAAGGGAGGGAATGACCGTGGCGAGAAGACCTGAAGCTTAGTGCGGAGCGACAGACCAGGTAGCTTCCACACAGCGTTACGTAACCGATGAAAAGATATTGCCACTCGACTGATTCGGAGTGTGACCTCTGCTGTTAAACTGGAGCCGGTCATAAGCACACTGCCCAGGTATGGGAAACTCTCCACTCTCTCCACAACTGCCCCATCACCGATTGGGAGTTGTGGGGGTGGAGTGTCCGATGGTACAAAATACCCAGGCAGGTGCTTAGTTTTGGCGGGGCTGATGGTAAGGCTCCACCTCTTAGTGGCACGCTCCAGTCTCAGCAGCAGCGTCTCCAACTCCTCCTCTGAATGAGCAGCTATTACCAAATCATCAGCATACATAACGTGGTTGAGCAAAAGGGAGCCATCCCTTGAGCGCACCCGGGCATCGATCAGCCTCCCATTATATCTGTACCAAATGGAGATTCCCCCGGTACAGCTATTGAAGGCTTCACGAACTACGTGGTCGAAATAGATGTTAAATAATGTGGGAGCCAGAGGACATCCCTGTCGCACCCCAAGGTGTACAGGGAATGGCTCTGACTCCCGGCCACGTAGTTTTACCCGGGCCCGCTCACCATCATGAAGGTCCTTAATGATCGTGAGCAGAGGGTCAGGTACTCCAAAAGCACGAAGAACAACCCAGAGCCCAGGCCTACTGATGGTATCATAGGCCTTGACCAGGTCAATAAAGCAGAGTTGTAGGTCTTGTTGGAATTCCCTACACCTCTGCTGTAGCAGACAGACAGAAAATATGGCATCTGTGCAGAACCGCCCTTTCCTGAAACCGCATTGGGGCTCCGCAAGCCTCTCCCCAGCGTGCCTGGCAAGGCGATGTTGAATAATCCTTGCCAGGACCTTTCCCGGCACACTGAGGCGTGAGATGCCCCTGTAGTTGTTACAGTCTGTGCGGTCCCCCTTCTTAAAGAGGGGGACCACGAGGTCCCCCTTTTTAAGAACTACAAGACAAAGATCCCCCGTATAGCCTTAACAGACTGTAGGGGCAAGTGCTGTTAGCGAGCACCTATGAAGGCCCGAACGGTACACGAGGGGGTGGGTGGCCAGCACCACGCCTGACCGCCTTTGTCTCCCTAGTAGCAATGTTTACACACCGCACCAGGTACTCATTTGAGGCCAAGTCGACCTAGGGGAGGACCACGACCAGTTAAGATAATCGTCACTGGTGGTGTTGGCCATGAGCGGGAATCTAACCCGGGTCGCCAGGTTCGTAGCGCAGTGCGCTAACCACGACACCACCACTCACTCACACTCACTCAACTACACACAGCGGACTCACACACCCACCTCCTCACACATCATTCACCCACCCACTCAACTATACACACCCACCCACTCAACTATACACACCCACCCACTCAACTATACACACCCACCCACTCAACTACACACACCCACTCACTCAACTACCCTCACTCAACTACACGGCGCTCACAAAGATATTCACTCATCCACCCACTCTACTCACCCACCCACTCTACTCACCCACTCACCCACCCACTCTACTCACCCACCCACTCTACTCACCCACCTACTCACCCACCCACTCTACTCACCCACCTACTCACCCACCCACTCTACTCACCCACCTACTCACCCACCCACTCTACTCACCCACCTACTCACCCACCCACTCTACTCACCCACCTACTCACCCACCCACTCTATTCACCCACCTACTCACCCAACCCACTCTATCCCACTCTATTCACCCACCTACTCACCCACCCACTCTACTCACCCACTCACCCACCCACCCACTCACCCACCCACTCTACTCACCCACCTACTCACCCACCCACTCTACTCACCCACCCACTCTACTCACCCACTCACTCACCCACCCACTCTACTCACCCACTCACCCACCCACTCTACTCACTCACCCACTCTACTCACCCACCCACTCTACTCACCCACCCACTCTACTCACCCACCCACTCTACTCACCCACCTACTCACCCACCCACTCACCCACCCACTCTACTCACCCACCCACTCTACTCACCCACTCACCCACCCACTCTACTCACCCACCCACTCACCCACTCACCCACCTACTCACCCACCCACTCTACTCACCCACTCACCCACCCACTCTACTCACCCACCTACTCACCCACCCACTCTTCTCACCCACCCACTCTACTCACCCACTCACCCACCCACTCTACTCACCCACCCAATCCGTCAATAGATAACCGCCCACGATAAGAATAATATTTTTGTTCCACGTGTCTTTGTACTGTTTGTTGTTGTAACTTTGTGACCCGTCCCCACTGGACATCTGTGGAAAAGAGCTTTATAGCTAATCGGATTCCTCCTACAGTATAAAGATTCTGATGCCGAAGTAGACTCATGGCACAAGCAAATCAGGTCTCGCGTATTTGATTAACCGAAGGAGAGAATTGAGGTGGCCAGCTGGGAGACTCATTTGCAATAAAACTTTGGTTATAAATACTGTCATGAATAATTATGGTACAAGTACACTTCTGATAAAGTGCACTTCTAAACACAAGCGTACGTCGCGGATTTAAGCACACTTCGGGTGTGCACACCAGCAGTCCGGATAAGCGCACTTGGGATACGTCTGCACTGAGTTGTTGCATCGGCAGGAACGGTGGATGATATGGCCACGGGCTTTGTTAGTGGGCGCGTGGATGGACGCCTTCATCCGGCAGCAGTGGATAGAGCGTGGAGCGCTGCCACGCGACAATTCCGATCGCGGCTCCCCCCACAACCCCCGCCCGCTCTGACGGGGACTTCGCCGCCTCGCGCGGCTGGCTGGCGGCTCAAAGCGAAGCTCTTCGTTCGATGGTTGGCACCAACATTCCTACTACACAAAAAAACCGCGTAGACGACAGCTTTAATACGAGATCGCAGTGGGGGTGGGTGCGGTGTGTGGGGGGGGTGTTAGCGCAACGCGGCTGCAGGTAAAACTGCGTCCGTGTGCGCCACCGCGCTCGGCTCCCTGTTCTGTTTCGCCGTCTTCTCTTGCCGCGTGCGCCCTGCGGGTCTCATGGGTTGTCGAGAACGACGGCGGTCAAGGCGGGCGGGCGGGCGAGCGGGTGGAATATCGCGGCCTTTGGATGACATCGACACGAGGCGGCTTCCCACTCCCATCGGCTCATGGCGTTTAAAGCCGCGCGCGCGCGCAGCGTGCTTGGGTTGCGTTTCTTAGGTTTCTCGGAACCCACGTGTCTGGGGGAATTAACGACGAAACGCGCAATATTGAAACTGCAAGAGACACTAACATATCTTGTTTTAACAGCTGGTGACGGCGCACGGAGCGAGACTCGGCCACGTGCTCCGAACCACGTGAGTGTACAGTAGTTTGATAATTGTCAGCGCAACGCGTCTACACCAATACTGCGTTGGTCATGAGTATTGTGGGACCATACTTCACCACGTTGGTCATGAGTATTGTGGGACCATACTTCACCACGTAGGTCATGAGTATTGTGGGACCATACTTCACCACGTTGGTCATGAGTATTGTGGGACCATACTTCACGTAGGTCATGAGTATTGTGGGACCATACTTCACCACGTTGGTCATGAGTATTGTGGGACCATACTTCACCACGTTGGTCATGAGTATTGTGGGACCATACTTCACCACGTTGGTCATGAGTATTGTTGGACCATACTTCACCACGTTGGTCATGAGTATTGTTGGACCATACTTCACCACGTTGGTCATGAGTATTGTGGGACCATACTTCACCACGTTGGTCATGAGTATTGTGGGACCATACTTCACCACGTTGGTCATGAGTATTGTTGGACCATACTTCACCACGTTGGTCATGAGTATTGTGGGACCATACTTCACCACGTTGGTCATGAGTATTGTGGGACCATACTTCACCACGTTGGTCATGAGTATTGTTGGACCATACTTCACCACGTTGGTCATGAGTATTGTTGGACCATACTTCACCAGGTTGGTCATGAGTATTGTTGGACCATACTTCACCACGTTGGTCATGAGTATTGTTGGACCATACTTCACCACGTTGGTCATGAGTATTGTGGGACCATACTTCACCACGTTGGTCATGAGTATTGTGGGACCATACTTCACCACGTTGGTCATGAGTATTGTTGGACCGTACTTCACCACGTTGGTCATGAGTATTGTGGGACCATACTTCACCACGTAGGTCATGAGTATTGTGGGACCATACTTCACCACGTTGGTCATGAGTATTGTTGGACCATACTTCACCACGTTGGTCATGAGTATTGTGGGACCATACTTCACCACGTTGGTCATGAGTATTGTTGGACCATACTTCACCACGTTGGTCATGAGTATTGTGGGACCATACTTCACCACGTAGGTCATGAGTATTGTGGGACCATACTTCACCACGTTGGTCATGAGTATTGTGGGACCATACTTCACCACGTTGGTCATGAGTATTGTTGGACCATACTTCACCACGTTGGTCATGAGTATTGTGGGACCATACTTCACCACGTAGGTCATGAGTATTGTGGGACCATACTTCACCACGTAGGTCATGAGTATTGTGGGACCATACTTCACCACGTTGGTCATGAGTATTGTTGGACCATACTTCACCACGTTGGTCATGAGTATTGTTGGACCATACTTCACCACGTTGGTCATGAGTATTGTGGGACCATACTTCACCACGTTGGTCATGAGTATTGTTGGACCATACTTCACCACGTTGGTCATGAGTATTGTGGGACCATACTTCACCACGTTGGTCATGAGTATTGTTGGACCATACTTCACCACGTTGGTCATGAGTATTGTTGGACCATACTTCACCACGTTGGTCATGAGTATTGTTGGACATACTTCACCACGTTGGTCATGAGTATTGTTGGACCATACTTCACCACGTTGGTCATGAGTATTGTTGGACCATACTTCACCACGTAGGTCATGAGTATTGTGGGACCATACTTCACCACGTTGGTCATGAGTATTGTTGGACCATACTTCACCACGTAGGTCATGAGTATTGTGGGACCATACTTCACCACGTTGGTCATGAGTATTGTGGGACCATACTTCACCACGTAGGTCATGAGTATTGTTGGACCATACTTCACCAGGTTGGTCATGAGTATTGTTGGACCATACTTCACCACGTTGGTCATGAGTATTGTGGGACCATACTTCACCACGTTGGTCATGAGTATTGTTGGACCATACTTCACCACGTTGGTCATGAGTATTGTTGGACCATACTTCACCACGTTGGTCATGAGTATTGTTGGACCATACTTCACCACGTAGGTCATGAGTATTGTGGGACCATACTTCACCACGTTGGTCATGAGTATTGTGGGACCATACTTCACCACGTTGGTCATGAGTATTGTGGGACCATACTTCACCACGTTGGTCATGAGTATTGTGGGACCATACTTCACCAGGTTGGTCATGAGTATTGTTGGACCATACTTCACCACGTTGGTCATGAGTATTGTTGGACCATACTTCACCACGTTGGTCATGAGTATTGTGGGACCATACTTCACCACGTTGGTCATGAGTATTGTTGGACCATACTTCACCACGTTGGTCATGAGTATTGTGGGACCATACTTCACCACGTTGGTCATGAGTATTGTGGGACCATACTTTACCACGTTGGTCATGAGTATTGTTGGACCATACTTCACCACGTTGGTCAGTACAGGGCGGGGGAGGGGGTGACACATACGTGGTGAGGCCCAGTAGGGGGTACAGCAGCTGGTCCATCTACCAGTCATCTCAACCAACCCATGGCACCTACTGGGTCTCTCCCGAGGACCTCCTGTCAGCGAGCCTGCAGCACTTCACGTGGCCTCAAAGTGCACTTGGCCTGGCACAGGCGCCGTCACAGTCATTCAGTGACGTTAGCCGTGGTCCGAAATCGAACTCGGGTCGCCGGATTAGTCATGCAGTCATCACTATACACTGCACGTACGGTATAAAGAAAGGCATTCACAGAAGTTAATTATCTCTTCGTGTTTGGAGGCACCGCGAATTTGTTGTTACGGCACCTATCCGTATCTACAACGTGCGGATATCGTGATTTAATTCACTGCTATCTCGTTACAAACGGTACAGACTACGCGTCTGGCATCAGTGGCGAGTGATACCTGATGTGATGGAGGCAACCACCACGGTGAAGTATAGTCAAATAACTCCCACGAATCCGTACGGCCTGGGTGAGACACCCATCCAGCAGTGGATTGACAAAGGGGCTGTTACATGTTCACGTTACCTGCTTTATAATAAATGTAAGGCTGCATTTTAGGCCAAGCTTGGACCGTTTGGGAGCCTAAGTTTGACAATGGGGTTCAGACTTATAATAACCACACTTTAGGGTGTGTACAATTTCATCTCGCTTGCCCTTCTAGAACACCAAATCCCTAGAGACAAAAATGGAAAACACTGTGTCAGCAGTGATCAACGTCAGGGCAGTATCAAGTACAGTATACACAATGTATTGTTAGTACAGTACTGGTCCAATTAAATGCAACGGTGCATACAATTATCAAGCAAAAACATTAAAACAATAGAGCGTGACATTTTACATGTTTTAAAGGCAAGTCACAATAACATTACACACCCCTTGTAAAATATCAGCATCTTTATTTAGACTGGAGGAGGAATCCAATGAGCTATGAAGCTCTTTTTCACAGATGCCCATTATGGGCGAATCAGAAAGCTAGAACAGCAAAATAGGATTCCACGGGGCCGAAACGTAACGTGCTCAAATGTTGGTCTGGAGTCGAGACCATTGGGAAAAAAACCACAAGATTTAGTGACATGTCGCATATTTCAGAAACACAAACTAGATGTTATGTTTACATACATTAATGGTCCTTATAAATCACCCTACACAGCTAATAATTACAATAATTACAAGCTTAGTTTGTCCACGTTTATTAGATGCCTGTAGGAGGCAGTGACGAGGATAATGTTTCTCCTGTCAACTTGAAAACTATTGTGAGTGTGAGCCTTTTGTTTATCTTATGAAGTGCTGCAATTCAATTTCTTTGTCATTTTTTAAAGGTAGGCAGGAAGGACGCGAACTCAAAAATCTCAAGCTTCACCCCCTCCGCGAGCGATGTCTGCCATGCCGCTCCACGCCTCCGTGGCGTCTCTCCTCGCCAGCATGGGCTGCGGCTTCGCACTCGCATGGTTCCTGCGAGGTCACTCGGTCACCGCCCCTGCCCACGGTCCTCCGGCAGACCACGCCGGCCAGGCACGCGGTCGCGAGGGGGGCGGCAGCAGCGGCGACGACGGCTACGACAAGGATGACGACTTCGACGGCGGCGGCGACGACGTGGACAGCGACGGCAACAGCGTCGGCGATGACACAGGAAGCGACGACGACGACGACGCCGACGCCGACGAGCACAAGATGGTGCTGGTCGTGCGCGCCGACCTCAAGATGGGCAAGGGCAAGGCGGCGGCTCAGTGCGCGCACGCCGCGGTGGCCGCGTACCGGCTGGCGGCGGCGCGCCAGCCGGGCGCGCTGAGACGCTGGCGCCGCGGCGGGCAGGCCAAGATCGTGACGCGCGTGGAAGACGAGGCGGCGCTGCTCGAGCTGCAGGAGAGGGCGCGCGCGCTGGGGCTCGGGGCGCCGGTGGTGTGCGATGCCGGGCGCACGCAGGTGGCGGCCGGGTCGTGCACCGTGCTGGCCGTGGGGCCCGGCCCCGTGCGCATGGTGGGCGAGGTGACGGGGCACCTTAAGCTGTACTGAGCATCGGCTGTCGCTCTCCTCTGGCCTTCCCTCTGGAATGCGCTCATCCCACCAACTCTGCTCCCACCTCCACCGCAAGCCTTAGCTCTGAATTGTTTTCGGTTTATACCGCGTGTTGTTTGGCATGATGTTTGACAATTTGGCCCACGTGCTGGGAGCTTCTCTAGATCTTCCTACCTTCTGGTCGTGAAGAGGTTCCCAGCAGATATGTAGTGAAACGTAGGACATAATGCCGAACAACCCCACGGTTACAACCTGAAAGCACATCAGAGAGCTATACGGCACAAAAACGAACGGTCCCCAACCCTTAGTCTCTTTTCTCCAAGTCAAGGTGTGTCTTTGATCAAATTAAAGTGGAATGGTGCACATCACCATTGGCAGCCGTGAACCTGTGGTGAGAATTCTGCATTCCAGTGGTGCTGGGCGATGTGGTGGGCAGCAGAGGGCAGTGTGCAGCTGAATATATTGTAGTATTGTACCTCCTCTGTGCCCCCCCTGCCACCGCATCTTTGCACCGCACCCCCTCCAACCCACACAGAGCAGCGTTATGGAATATGGTCAAATAACCCCCACACGCTGTTGGGAGGCCTTAATCCAGCAGTGGAATGATAAAAGCCGTGCATACACACATGCTATAATGAGTGATACTGGCAATATTCAAGACTGGATCATATGTTGTGCTATAGCAATATAGTTATCAGTGTTTTCGGTATCACCTTGATACTGGGAGTCTTGAGAAACGTTATTTCCCTTGGCAAATGTATTGCTCATCGAGCAATGCCTATTTCATGACTTTCATTACCAAGGCATTTCCTGTAATGTACGATACACTGGTAGAATAATTTCCCAGCTGTTGTGATTCAGGAGTGGGTATGAAATGCCAAGGTATCAGATCTACGGTGAATATTAAATACAAGACCTGTCCTGCCAAGCACTGCTTTCACTTAACGCCGGAGACCAATATTCGGTGTAAATCAGCCAAGTTCACAAAACGTATCCAATGGTTGCCTAAAAATGTTGAAGCTTATTGCATCCGCTACTCTTTAATAGTACCATAGAAGCTCAAATAAACTGTTTACAAACACGCAATTTGCAGAATGCATGGATTTTAGATGAACACTTATGGTAACTTGGAACGTGCCAACTGCATACATTTTCCGTATTTCCGAACAATCTTTACATTTTTCCCATTAGGCGGGCACCTGATACAAATTGAAATTATAAAATCAAGCAATGTGACCCCAAAACTACTGGCACGTTTTAAGCTGCCATCACTCATTATGTGAGTGAGGAGACAACTTAAAAACGGCGTCTTGCAATACCATGGGACAAAAGTGAATGCCACAAATGAACCACGACACCTCGCTGATCTCGTCAAGGAGCAGAAAGCATTGCTGCGAACTCTGGTCATCCACGCAGCAGCGGCTTTTGGCCAGCCATCGAACAAAGACGTCGTGCGCTTTCAGATGCGTTTCTGCGGCCGCCTGGAATGCTCTTCCGATATTAGGAGCCACTGGAGCTTTGCATTATTACATCTACTGCAGATTGAAAACTAATTCCTTTAAAACCGCTTTTTTGTACTTAGTTGTCCTTCCCCCCATACCTCCATTGAGTGCGGTTAGCTACCTACGGTGCAAAATAAATTCACCATACAGGGTAGCCAAGAACATTGTAAGACGTGAACTGCATGAACATTACCCGAGAATGTGTTTTTTCCCCATCTCTTCTGGAAATCCGAGCAGCAAATGAGCAGAGTGGTCTACCCCCTGCTGAACGGGTTTGTTAAGCTGAAATAATGGTGAAACTGTAGCCGCCTTGCCTTAAAGCATGACCCCCCCCCCCCCCCCCCCCCCCCCAAAAAAAAAAACTTTCAAAATTCCTCCCGGTACAAAACTTTACATTTTTTTTATGGATTAGGTTTGCGATTATGGCCTATAGCTCTCCGGTGTTTATTTTTAGGGTTTTAACGTTGGACCGTGTGCCAAATAACATGCAGTGCAACCTGCACACACATCGGAGAGCCTATCATATTTTTAAAATCAAGTTATTTGTCCATATCTATGGAGTTCTTTGAAGCAATAGGTAAATTGTAGCAAGCCAAGCGATATTCCGTTTTTGTTCGGGCGTTTGAAGCTGTACATCAAGAGGTTACACATCAACTCGTGACCAGAAAATATTTATTTCAACAATTGTCAAATGCCATCGATCTTTCCAATGCTAACTATTCAAACTCTGCACTTAATTTGAAAGGTGAAAGGAAAAAAAACAGAGCAGGCTGCTGTTATTTTGATTAAACACAGAAATAAGTTATATATGTTACCTGGTTGTCGCTATACAATTTCTGTATAAAACGCTTCACATTTCCAGTGTAAATAGACATGTTAGTAAAATACAGGACGCGGTGAGCCTTCACTCTTAGTTACACTATGCTACAAATTACCTTGGGTCAGTAGTTCACAAACTGCGAGCATCGTGTTCCCCCACCACCATAGCCAGGCTCCCATCGCTACCACTCCAGGCGCGTCTCACATCACCTCCACACGTGTGCGATGTGCATCCTGGCAGCGATGGAAGGGCTGCGCTTGAGGTGGAGGGGGTGACCGATCGCTGTGGTTTGAGAATCGTTGCGTCGCACGCGGCACTTAAACGCAAGGTTCCATGTAAACTGCACAAAAGTTGTGCAAAAAAATCCGGCTTGGGTAACACGGAGGGACCAAATTCGTTTTTTCGGTCAGCTTTCCCGCACGTTGTTTAAACTTCTTCTTACCGGTGATTAAGCGCCGACTTGTGTGTCAGCTTTCCTGCACGTTGTTTAAACTTCTTCTTACCAGTGATTAAGCGCCGACTTGTGTGTCAGCTTTTCTTTGAATGCAACTGAAAATAGGGATTTTTAAAAGTGGTCACATTACCAGTTCCATGATCGTTAATTCCCATTTTTGGTTTTTATCACAACTCTTTTCCAACATAGCTACTGCAAGTGTTTTTTTGTGGGATTATTTTCATTGTTTTTTTTTGCTTGTTTAACTTACAATAACAAATCTATTTTAAAGCAAAAGTTTTAAACTGCATTTTAAAATTCTAGATTTGAAGCTTTCGTGACTGCAAGGATCCATACTCTTTGGTTCTATTCGGTAAAGTCACGTAGGTAAAAAAATAAAACGAAACGTGATTTTTGTTGTTTTATTTTTTTTACCTACGTGACTTTACCGAATAGAACCAAAGAGTATGCATTTTAAAAGATGGTCCAATAAACCACAAGCTGTTAAAAATGTAAGACCCAGCAAGCATACATGCTCGTTGGCGTTTTGAGCCAGTTGTTTTAAAGCTACTACAGCAGATGCCAATCACGAACAGCATTTGCTGTAACAATTATGAACGGAACACTGTTGGTCCAATTGTTTTGTATAACCGATAGTCACTTTTTTAAAAGTTATTTTCAAACTGATAAAAAATACACACTTATGCAAAGAACGCCTTCCCTTATAAATAAAACAATTCCACACTCAAACGCAAGTAACTTTTTGCTCTCGGGGACTTGAGCTGCGATAAATCGAGTTCAACCACTTGTGACAATATACTCAGAACTCGTTACGTTTCTGACGGTTCAGAGAGAATAAAATGCAACGTGTGTAAAAAACACATGTCTGGACTTTTTTTTATTAACTTACCAAAACCAGGGCTTGAACCCTGAACCACGTGTTCTGAGCGATTTATCTCCGGCAGTTACATTATTAGTCTTGTGCGCTCCACAACTGCCCGTTAACGCCCCTTTAGGTGCAATGCCAAGCCGTTTTACATTTGTACTTTACAGCTTGCTATGCCTGCAAGAGTAAGGAAAAACCATTTACCTTATATACTGCAAGTACACTCAAATACTGAACATCTAAATGTGACAACAAGCATAAACACACAGACATAAACATGAAACGCTGACGGCTTGATGAATATAATTATAATGTATTTGCCCTGCTGGTCAAGCTTCAGTATACTGTATAACGAAATGCTAAACATCAAGTATTTGTACTCCCATCAGTCGGCAAAAGCAATGAACGGCTGTGGATTGTAAGGACTACACTCTGAGAGAATATCACAAAAGCATCCTTCAAGTTAAAAATGTCTCACTCCGCCCCGACCCCCCTGCAGTCAAGAATTCGAGCCCCATAGCTAAAACCATCCATCTGCAATGTAGTATTAAGAGGTACTGCTCACATATTACGAATGACAATGTGAGGATATCAGAATCAGAAAGGGTTTTATATGCCACTGTTCATGAACTTTTTTGGCGGGGGCTGTGGTTTTCCCAGAGGTGGCCCCACAACGTGAAAGCAGTAGCAGGTTTGTGCTCCATTTTGAGAACGCTTAAAGCATTTGGACAATGGGTTGAGATATGCCCACAGGTTGATATTATTTTTGGGGCAAATGTGTTACATTTACGCGATAGTCCGCACCGACGTCGTCAAGAGATGTGCACTGCTTGCGTAGTGTTTACGCCAATCGCAGCCTCGCCCGATTTTTGTCTCCCAAGATGTAGGCGCCACCTGTGATGAAATCGCCCACAATGCGCCCAATTACACCAGACTTCGGAAGCTAAGCAAGCTTTATGCCTGGATAGTGCTTGGATGGGCAACCACAGTGCACAAACTCGCACTGACCGGCGTGGTGAAGTATGGCCCAATATCCTTCAGGGCCATCAAGGTGTGCATGGGTAGGCCCTTTCTGGCAGCAGGTTAACAAAATGGGCTGCACATGTAGAAAATAGGTACCCACAAAACGTGTCACCTGAGAAAACCTGACCAATATAAATAAACCCTCCTGGTTTTCCCCCTAATATTTTCTGATGAGCAAATGCAGCCACAGCATGGCATTTTGGTCAGTCACATTCACTTGGCTTAGTAGACACGTGCACCTAGGCCCAAAGTTAAGTCCATGCATGCCATCTAGAGGGAACAAAGCTTCGAACGTCAAAAGTGAGAGAGAAAAAAATCACGTGGAGCCACTTAATGAAGATCACATAAAAAACAAAAGCATTGCTTGTGTACACAATTTCAGGGTTATTAAAGAAAGTGCAGTGATTTTTTGTTTTTAAACGTGCTACAAATACAATGAGAATTTTTCCATTAAATAGAAATAGTCGCTTCGATAGGTGCAGCCCACTCTGAAGAGATATTTGCATCTGGTAAAAAAAAATAATTCTTGTTTTAAGTAGTGTTTATAATTCAATTAAAGTGGTGTCGTCTTTTAAGGATTAGTGCTCTCATTTTATGCGCTCACGCTTAAGCCACGGTTTAACGCGACAGCTGAATTGTAATAATACCGTCTGCGATTGCCTCTGTTGCCATAAATCACAACCATAAGTTTCAACGTTTTCTTCAAACTTAGCACCGTCGTGCAGAAAATCCATCTTTTGCCATTGAGCTCTCCATTAAGCTGGGGGGAATTTTTTTTTTATCTAGTCTCGTTAGGACAATAATTCCCTTACGTGGAAAAAAGTTCAATCGACTTGTATCGTTATTCAGACTTCCTGTGTAGGTTGAGAACAAGCACACGATTCTACCGCACATCAAGACTTTCCTCTGGAACCCACTGAAACACTTCATCAAATGGCGATGCCATTTTATAATCATGAAAATTTGAGACATGCAGTCTCTTTAAATCCATTTTATTGCTGGGGGTTATTTTCCGTTTGGTGTCTAGCTCTCCAGCAAAGCAAGGGCTATTTCCTTATATATTTTATAGCTTATTCTAATTCATAGAAAAAAGTATACGGTATAAAAATGAGACGAACATATAACACTTCTGTACGATTCAATATCTTAAATGTTGCGGGGTCCTCTAAGCAAACGAAAGGCCTTCCTCTGGCATCAGCTCACGTTGCGATATGATCAATAAATAAGACCTCAAAAAAGAGACTGCTCAGCCTTGTTAGAGCAAGGATGGTCTCATAATAGAAGCTAATTGCAACTAACGGTAACAAAAAATGCCAGGTGTGGATTTATTTTTTGCACAAAATTAGAGAGGAAAATTAACTCGACACGTGAGAAAGGGTTGATACAGTGAGTACAAATTATATACGTGCACATCTCTTAGTAAACCAGGCATGGGGTTCGTTCATCCTCAAAAACACAGCCGTTTGACAAACAAAAAAAACATTAATCAGCTTTTTGAAATAGTATTTGGCCCCAAAGCCAAAACACATGGCACCTCAATCCAAAAAGCGATGAGCCTAATGGGCTGTGCCAAGCAATTCAAGTTGTTGCGAAACAATTTGATCAATTTTGGATACATTTTTGGATACGTTTTTAGAACGTTCTCATCAATTCTGGAATTAACTGTGTCAGATGCATTCAAGGTTAAGACCACGTAATTGATCTGTCATATGTAATACGGCACATTCAGCAATTGACTTTTTTTTTATATTTCACAATATCTTAGTCTGAACTCTAGGGTATCGACATGTTGATTACACACACATTCCTGCATTGACAGTTTCGCTGGTGTAGCTGTGCTCTGAAACGTACTGTGCAGAGCCCCACAATGGTCCTGCCCCATTCCTTGCCGACGGCTGGCCTGCATTTTAAAAGGCAGCACCACCACAAGTCCACCGGCCTCTCTCGCCGTTAAACCAGTTAATTCCACATCAACATTCATGAGCTCTGACAGAACACCTAATCCAAAAAACTGCACCCAAAAAAAAACCAGCTAACAAAAAAAAGCATCTCTGCTTTTCCACTTGAGGCCAATACCAAGGATCCATAAGCACCAGCGAAACTCCATTTTCCTACTTGCAGATCTGTCGCTGTATGTGCTGCAGGAACTCGGAGTATGACATCGAAGACTCGGACCTGTCTTCCACAAGATGCTCGATGAAGATCATCCTGTTGGTGCTGTCGTCCCTGCAAGCGGCAACATCAACGGTTAGAACACAGGGAAGTGGTGCAATGACGCCTTGGGACAACAACCGCAAGAGAATGTCATAGAAAGCAGCCAAGTGCGTGGTTAACGAAGGCTTGAGGAGAGAAGAGGCCGGGAGGCTTAGGGGTCAAAACACTGACAGGTACCGCAAGATCTGACCGCGTCCGTCCAGTGCTCGCCGAGCTGCATTGGCTTCCCGTTGCCGAACGAATACATCGTAAGGTCGCACTCAATACACACAAAAGTGCTTGCCACAAATTAACTGCAATACCCTGCTGATCTCTTTAAGGAGCATACACCATCACGCGAACGCCGGTCATCCTCGCAGCGGCTTTTGGCTCGCCATCGAACAAAGACGGTCACTGCATCGCGCGCTTTCAGATGCGTTTCTGCGGCCGTCTGGAATGCTCCTCATACCGATATTATGAAGCCACTGGAGCTATGCACTTTTAAATATTAATTGAAAAATAATTTCTTAACAATTGCTTTCTACGTTTCGTTTATTGTCCTTCCCCCGCAACTCCAATTAGCATGGTTGGCAATGTACGATGTGAAATAAGTTCAAAATACATCAATGCTGGATTTCAGCTGCTCGCGATTTAAACCGGATTCTCAGTTGCAGCGAATTGATGGTCTAAGCCCAGTCAATAACGACAGGACCAAATTTTTTTTATAAATCATGTTTTTTTTCATCTAAATTGCAAAGACTGTACATGAACGTGTAACTGATAATACCCTATAGGCAGCGTATACTACATGGTGCGTCGTACAGAAATATGAGCACACCTAATAGACCACAGGACTAAATTACACTGCGCGGACACGTTTCAAGTGACAGTCAAGGGCATGCTTATTAAACGCAATAACGACATAACACATACCGTGCATGCACAAGAGAAACCATTACTACATAATGCACAACATACACCGACGTGCAAATGCATGCATACTACAACAGCACATGGCCAACTGGAGGCGCAGCCCACATAGCGTTGGGAGTCTCTCATGCAGCAGTGGATTGCTAAATGGGCTGTACATGTGCATGTGGTTGAACATACGTGCATGCTGTATCACAAAACCGTATTAATCGCGAACATTAAAGAGAGAAAGTGGTTTCTGAAATCAGCACTGACACATGTCACATGTGGAACTAACCCTAACCAGACCGTGCCCCCCCCTCCTCCCGTTTATTTCCCTCTGTGACCTTCCCCATTATTTATTTTATAGTTTACTCCCTTGTTAGCTGCGTGCAAGTAAGGGGCTAACCCGACAAAAGAAATGAAGAACATGATATGTAATTCGTGTACCTTAACATCGGGTCCCCATTCAACTTGCACGATGCAATAAACGTGACGATTTTATTTAATAAACATCGTAAGCGGCTTTTAAAACGCCTCTGCAAATCAGCCTAGCGATCAGGAGCGAAACGTGCTTTGGTGGGGAGCGTACTTGATGATGTGCTGCGTGGAATGGAAGGGCCTTGGCTCTCGAATCCACGACAAGAAGTCTCTCGTTCTCTCTGACGTGGTGTTGTCCAGTTCGGGCAAATCGACCTGCGAAAATAACGCATCGCCAGGGACTCTGCTTCACCACACCATTGTACCGTGAAATCAGGGCACAGAAGTGGCCTCTCAAGGGCGCACACATCAAACACCATTATATGCGCTCGCACACACGCACAAATACAAAACATCCCCCACATGTAGCCTTTATAAATAGTTGGGGCAAGTGCTGTGGGCGAGCACCTGTGGAGGCCAGCACAGTGCTTGAGGTGGTATGACTACCATGTCAAGACAGCCTCGTCTTCCCAGTGATAATGTGTACATACCGCACAAGGTACACATTTAATGCCAAGTACACTTAAAGGAGAGCCACAGACCGGCTCAAGATATTCGCCACTAACATCAGCTGTGGCCAGGAATCAAACTCGGTGTACGAGGTTCATAGCAAAGTTAATGAACGACTACATTACCACTCCCCAAAACACACAAAGACACATGTGCGCAAAGACAAACATCTATTCTTACACAGAGCATCTACTTGGAGCCAGCATGCCACACAACAGTGTGGGCCCACACACACTGCCACTGGTACGTGGCCATGTGTGGCTCAAGCCCGGGAGAAACATCACTTTAAGCAGCGGGAATGAATCTCACCATTGTGTTCGGAATGGAGATGTAGTTGGGAAAACCAAGGACGTCCTTGATGAATCGGTTGCTGCAGTTCCTCCCGACCCAAATGTACAGCACCTATGGATGAGGGAGATGAGATCCAATGCGTTCGCTGTTCCACTCATTCATTTTGTGCAGAGTTCTCCAACTGATGGCCCGCTGGCCAGATACAGCCTACGATGCTTCTTGGAGTGGGCCTACCAAAACGATGGCCTGCCAAGAGACATGGCTCGCTGAGACCCAGCGAGATACATATTATTGAGATGAAAGGGAGATAGACAAAGATGAGAGAGCTGTAGACAAGGGATACAGACTAGTGCGATGAAAGCAAGATCTACAAGGTAAAGACAATATACCTGCAGACAATATCAGTGGCCACATGTAGAGCTATTGACGTCATGATGCCATGTGGTGTCATAATGTCCATACATTTAATGTAAGATGTCACGTGGCCTGCCAGCACATGCTTATATAAATATATTGTTCACTAGGAAATATATTTAAACACCAAACAGAATATGATAACTGATAAACATACTGCAATGCTGAAATTTGTTTAATAATTTGCTGTTGTAGCAATTGGTAATTATACAGTCCTTTGTCAATCCACTGCTGGATGAAGGCCTCTCCATATTTAAACACTTTGGTCCATACAAGTGAAAGAGGTCGGGGGAGACCCAGAACCGGTTCAATTATCACCCATCACTAATTTTAGCCGAAGCTGCAAATCGAACAGAGGCCACCAGGTTTGTAGAGCAAGTGCACTTACCACCGCGCCACCACTCAACCCCTTAGAAATTGCTAACGGGTCCCGAAGATCTACATCGACGTTTTGGTGCGTAAACCGAGAATATGAGGTCGCACCTGCCAATACTCATTGCAGGACAACTGGAGCGAAAGTACCACATTACAAGTTCCAGTGCCCGACTCCTTCCCAGACTGCTATTTGGCCAAGAGTACGGAGGGGGGAAGGTGCCACTCGGTACAACTACAGCTTCTGAAGCCATTTTCCCACTGCCTTGCACGTCGAAACAACCCCACGCATTCATTCAACGGTGCCAGCAGCAAACACCTGCAAACGCAAGATTCCCCCCCGGGGCTTCTTCCGAGGCTTGTTTGTGTAATATCCCAGTATTGGTGGAGCGCAGCGACATGTTGGTTTTGGAATTCTCGGTGGCACCACCCCCCTCCGGCATATTTTCATTGGCAAGGCTCAATCCCGACCCAGACGCCTCCTGTATATTCGGAGTTTGCGTGTTCTCTCTCTCCCCCCCGTGGTCGCGTGGATTTTTCATCTGGGTCCTCCGGTGTTTCCCTCCACATTTATAAAGCATGCGTTGAATGTGTTTGGCTGCTTACATTCCCACGTGATAAGCCACTGCGTTGGGCTATCATTTGTGGCTTAGGTCACTTCTGAAAAAGAGCTATATAGCTCAGTAGGTCTTACCTGGTAAATAAAAGTTGTTTTTATTATTTTCAATCAAAACAGCAAGGTAACTCTAAAAACACCTCCTACACCTCCATTCGAGGATGGTATCCTGCTGTGGGAATGCATAAAAGCACTTTGCCAATGTCCACAGCATGCGGTGATGCCACTTCTGGAAAATCCCCTTATTCACCTGGTATGTTACTCTGAAGGTGCAACTTCAAACACACACAAGTACTAAGTGTGTGTGCCTATACAATGGGGAGCGGAAATGTAGCAGTTAGCGCGCTGCGCTACGAATCCGGTGACCCGAGTTCGATTCCCGCTCACGGCCAACACCAGTGGCGAATATCTGAACCGGTCCTAGGCCTCCCCTAGGTCGACTCGGCCTCAAATGAGTACCTGGGGCGGTGGGTAAACATCGCCACTGGGGAGACAAAGGCGGTCGGGCGTGGTGCTGGCCACCCACCCCCTCTCGTGTGCCGTGCCGGCATTCGTAAGTGCTCGCTAACAGCACATGCCCCAACTGTTTGTTAAGGCTATACGGGGGATCTTTGTCTTTCTGTATCTCCAGGGCGGTCCAAAAATTAAGACACATAGGGTTATTTAACTTATATTAACACTGGCATTAAAATGTTTCAATTGTTTATTTATTACGTAAATATTGTAGCTAGCTGTTATTAATATATTTTTTTCCTGGGGGTCACCTATAATCAGTCATTTACAAAACTCATCTGAGAACTCTGAATTGAGATAAAACATAAATGATGAATGTTCAAGATTACACTTACACCTGGATTCTTGAAAAAGTCCTAAATTCTATTCAAAAGAGAATTCATACATACATACATTAATATTAATGCTAGTCAGTTCTAAAACACGTAAAAATAAATGCCATAACCCTTTGTGATTTGTTAAAATAAATATTTTACCTCTGTGTGACCTGGATTTTGGGCCACCCTATATATATTTAAAGACATATCTATAGTAAACTGAAAATACTGGTTTGACTGCCACCCAACAGTTCTCGATAGCAGGGCACATGAGAAAGTGCTGCCCCCAAGTGTGTGGTTAAATAAAAGAGGTCACTTCAAGGAATTTCAGAAGCAGTGTTGATACAATATCCGCTTCTGCGGGTCGTTCTCTTTCGCATGAGGCTGTTGCACTGCCCTCTGGGCATTCCATAATGGATGCTCTGTCTCACGACACGATGCTGATAGCGCAATTATAGTAAAACTGGGAAACACAAAAACACAACAAACAATTCAGTCGCTCTCTCAAGGCCACATAATGCTAAGACAGAATGCGATTTTCACCACGACTTTGGGAGCTGGTAAAATTGAGTCAATGAATCAACTAAAAGTTAAAACCGTCTACTTGAATGGGGTCGTTTACTTGGGTCCCTTTAAATTTTAAGGCCACCCCAAAATCCTGCCTCCCGAAGTCGGGAAAACTCCCCTAACAAGACGGGCCCAGCGTGACACGACCAATGATGACCGTGATGTCACCAAACCTTGCCCCATATCACTTCCCGTCCAGCGGCAGACGTAAAGGAACAGAGGGGAGACTTTTGTGTTCCCTCTCCATCTCCAGTCGTGTTTTCCAGGATTGGTCGAGTAATCAAACAGATCATCGGTAAGAGTAATCGACGGCTTAAATATTCGGAGATTCCCTGCTCTACACGCGCTGCTTACGCTGCCGCAGTCGAGGAGGAAGGCCCCGTCCGTGTTGAGGTGCTCAGACGACAGCTGGAGGATGGGAGGCTGTGGGACGCTCTTGTCGTTGATGTTCATGGTTACCTGAAGTGAGAGCCCCGACTGTCACTCCGCAGATTGTGCACATAGAAAATAACCACGCCAATGAAATTCCAGGACGCAAGACTTATCGTCGAAAATAAGAAAAAGATTCTATTGCAAACGTTAAATATTGTGGCCCGTTTGGGCATTAAAGCTGCCGCTCTCACTCATCGCTACGCAAATGAACATTGCAATACAGAAACAGTAAAATCTAAGTTCTACACTATTGTCTTGGCTTCCTGTGCTCTTAAATGCTACTTCACCAGATATTCACCGCAATGCTCCAACACTCTATGAACTGCACCTATGAAAAGTTGACTCCAACCTGCCACAAATCATGGATATAAAGTTAAATTGTTTAGCCGCTCAAATAAACATGGAGTGGCTGTCATCTCTGTTGGCTGGCTGTCAGTCAGTGATGAACATTCCACATTTTCATGGCATGCTGCCAGCCCTCTCCATGGGATGATCACCATTGACTTCCTCCGACGGGGGATGGCCGGGCGGCTCTTTCGGTTAATGCCTGGTCAGAGCCCTAAGCTGACACCACTGAGATTCTCGATTTAAATCGGCATTGGGCATTCATGATTAAACTGGATTTGTCAATGCATTAAGGTGATGGTGGCAACCTCCTTTCTGTTCAATTTGTTTAAGTTAAGTCAGTGCATTTCAGCTGTGAGAACCAAACCGTGTTCGTCATGAACGCGAAGTGATGAACACTATTATAGCCGAGCATGTAAGAGGCACCGCCTAGTGACAGGAACAGCAATTCGAAGGGCCATCAGATGTAGTTCTGTAACATTACCTTCAAGGGACCATTCTCACAGACAAGGCAATGCACTACTTTCTATGCAAATTCCTTGTGAACATTTCTGCATCTCATGACCTTCCCAATGGACATTTCTTCACATTGCGCTCACAACACTGTTAGAATAGAATTGGGAGAAAATGACTAAAACTAAAACCTGGCAGCCTCGCAATATAAAATACTACGGCACTGCCCTGCCCTACGATCCGACAGCTCCTGTCCGTGAACCCGGACTCGCACGTGAGGCGTGCGTGCGCGCGCAACGTCCCCACCTGCTGCATGAGGTTGTCGATGCGGTACAGGTGTGGGTGGATCATAGGCATGAGGTGCACGAGCGGCTGGCTCTTCATCTGGCACATGGCGAACACCCGCTCGTCCAGGCGCGTGCTCGTGCCGAGCCGGAACGCCGTCTGTGGGCAACCGGAGGTCGTGGGGCAGCGGTGAGCGGCGCCACGAGGGGGCCACGAGAGCCGAGGAGGCTCCAGAGGCCTTTCAGTTCCAGCTGGGAAACCACTTTGCATACTGGCGCCGAAGAACACCGTGCGGTACGCTTTTGGTTATAACGCTGCGAGAAACACATTCTCACGGGCATTTTGTCCTCGGAAGTATTCAATTAGCAGCGATGTTACATTTCTAGCTGCACAAGGAGATGACGGGACGTGGCGTATCAGGTTATGGGGAGGGGAAGCAGGCGCACGGCATATGATGTCGTATGACGATGTCACACGTCACACGCTTGCCTATCCCGAATCCATTTAAATCAGTGACGACTCCTCACCTACTACAATCAACGACATTCGGGACTAGGTCATACACGGAGGACATCGCAGATCAACAACAACGGACCCCACCCTCTGGCTTATCCGAGCGAACGAAATGACCCGACTGCGCCCCGGCGCCCACAGCGTTGCATGCCGGTGCGAGGTGGCGGCCCACGTGTTTGAGCAGGGCGTGCACGTAGAGCGGCAGCAGGCTGAGCGAGCGCGGCGCGACGAGGCCGCCCTGCTGCAGGTTGGAGACCGTGGAGCGGAAGCCGGACAGGGAGTCGGCCACGGCGTTCACCAGGGCGTCTCGCGCGTCGGGCAGGCTGGACGTCACCGACCGCTCCACCGCTGCAGCCCGCGGCGGCAGTGGCGACCGGGGGAAAGGGGGAGCGCCCAGAGGAAACGGCGGCGATATTTAAAAAAAGAAACGCACACATCAAGTGCTAAGCAGCACAACCGCAAAAAGACCTATGCAGTGGCCTCTCAGCCTTCCGCAACCAACATCACTCAATGCGTATCGCATTGCAGGACAGTGAAAGGCTTTTTTTACAGCAAGCAGTCAAGTGGCATCATTTGCTCGACCACACCGAAGAGTTCAGCCCCCACAATGCTGTTACCAATCCTGCAGGGGGTAGGATCATCTAGACTCACCCATGGTGGCGAGCAGGCCCGTGATGGCCTGAACGTCTGCTCCGTGGTAGATCTCGGCCAGAGTGTTTACTACAGGCAGGCACAGCGTGTGCACCCGGATTCGACGATCGCCTAACCAATCACACACGACACAGTCACGAGGACATTAAACACAATACAGATTTTGATTTAAAGCTTTTGTGACTGCAGTGATTCATATTCTTGGTTCTTTCGGTAAAGTCAAGTGAAGGGAAACAATAAAATAATAAAATATATATTAAGACAATTTCGGGTCTTAATTGATTGTTCACGCTTACGGTGGCTTTCAGACAGCATACATTCATTTTTCGTCTCCCTCCTCTTTTCCGAACATAGATGGACTCGTCCATCTAAACAAACTGTCAAATCGCTATCCGTGGTGCTAACGTTTAAAAATAAATAATTTCAAACCGCCACTTCTTTCAAATGTTTCTTGCCGTTGGTTTTCACACCTGATGACGACTGCTTGTGTTGCAGTCGATACGTCGTGAGAATTTTATTGTTTTATATATATTTTATTATTTTATTGTCATATATATTTTATTATTTTAGAATACACAATACAGATGTTATTTCGATTTAAAGCTTTCGTGACTGCAGGGATTCATCTTCTTGGCTCTTTCGGTAAAGTCAGAAATAATAATAAAATAATAATAAAACATAATAAAATCAAATTCTAACATTTCGGCCACAACACAAGTAGCCTTCCTCAGGTGAAGAAACAGAACTGTCGGAAAGACAGCGTTCCAATGAACAGCGTATTTTAAGCTGAGTGGGAGGAGCAGAGCGCCTTGACAGAGGAGGTTACATATCAACAGAAGAATTTAGCATTGAAGTAGCTGTGTTAATGTGAGATATTAGCAGGATGTTAAAGTCAGAAATTAGCATGTAACTGGGAGATTAGCATGATGTTAGTGAGGAATTAGCATGTAACTGGTCACGGAAGTAGCTATGTTAAAGTCAGAGTTTACATATCAACAGAGGCATTTAGTATATTGACGCTAAAGAACTGCAACTACCCAACTATTTTATTATGAAATTTTTATTATTATTATTTAATTATTTCCCTTCTACGTGACGTTACCGAAAGAACCAAGAAGACAGATGTTATTGTCAACTAAGGATGGGTACGATAGGAATAATCTTTTTCTGCTGGCGGTCCATGTTAAAGCAGTTCAAACAAAAATGAGTAAACAGCCCTTTGTGAATCTATTCCTGGATAAATAGCTCTCGACATCATGTGGGTCAACGGAGTTTTATGATCATACTTTTCCACAATGGTCGGCGCTGTATATTGAAGCGGGTGCCGAGGACCCGTTCAGGTATCGCTCGCCTCCGATGTTAATCAAGGCCGGGATCAAACGCAGGTCTCTGGGTTAATAGGGCAGCGTGATAACCACATCATGGGATATGGGCGTGCATCTATCTCTCCGTGCACGCGAGTCAGCGCGTCGCGCCCCTGCTGCCCCACCGCCTCCCCACCCACCACCGCTCCCTCACCTTTGCTGGATGTGTAGAGCAGCGCGGCCTGGAAGGAGCAGAGCGTCGTGTCCGTCAGGGTCTCGTCGATGGACATCTGTACGGCGAAGCCAGCATCCGGGTTGACGTTGGGCAGCGACAGGAGGTCGGTGGAGCGCACGAAGAAGTTCCCGTGGAACGTGTGGATAGACACCCCTGAGCCGTCACCGCCCGACAGACGGAACGAAACGTAAATAATTACGGACAATGCGCAGGCAAGAGGCTTTCACCGCCAACATTTAATAACACACGCCGTCCCTCAGACAATGAGACTTCTGGACGAATGTGTTTTTTTTTTTAAGCAGCAGCTTGCAGATGGTCCAGGACAGGCATGAGTGGAGAAAACAGACAAGGCAGACCCCACACCAGTGATAAATATTCCACGAAAAAAGTAGAATTTGATCAGACAAATTCAACACTGGTTTTGATTTATATCCCTCTGCGATTAACCTACAAATATGGCGCATTGAACAGATAGATGCTGGTCAGATGCCCGGTAGCGTGATCAGCAAAATAATTGAAAACCACATTCCTGAAGCTCAGGGCGTGAACAGCGTTCAAAACAGTGCGGACTTGTTATCAGCATCTCCACGCTGTGCAGAAATGTCACGCGCCAGACGGTCCCAGTTTGGTGCTGCAATGCACGATAAACACTCCAGCAATGGACCTGTGCATTCTCGAATTGGCTTGTGTAGTGTTTAATTGCCTTTCTTTTTTTATCGAATGCTGGAAATGGCCGACATTTAATCGTCACGGCAATAACTGGGTTTTTAAAAGAAAACGGCTATTCCGTGGGCTTCCCACCACGGAATAGCCGTTCAGATATTTTGAGACCACCGCTCGAAATGCCGTGCGGCTTCCACCACCGGGGCTGTGGGAGTGCCGACGCCGACCGACCTTTGCTGCAGCGTATCCTCATGACGGCCTCGAAGCCGATCTTGCGTGTGAGGTATCGCTGCAGGTCCTTCTCCAGCCGTTCCACCTGCACAGGCGTGTGCACGCGGTGGAACGACGGGTAGAAGTACACCGCGCCCGACGAGTACCTTGAGACGCACGCTGCACACACGTGGCACAGATAAATCACCACAGTAGGCTTAGACGTAAATCAAGCAACAACAGCTGGGTGCCACACTATTCCTTTACAGGGACAATGTCGATTCACAGCTATGCAACAGGTTAAACCCCGCCAGGCACCCTGTAACGGGGCGCCACGGTGGCGAGATGTTAACAACCTCACCTGGTATGCAGGAGGCCATAGGTTCGATCCCGACCCCTGCATATTTGCACTTTGCATGTTCTCCCCGTGGTCGTGTACATTTTTCTCCGGGTACTCTGGTTTTTCCCTCAACAGTTAGAATCAACGTGCATTTAGATTATTTGGCTGCTATAAATTTCCACATAATCAGCCACTTCGTTGAGCTATCATCTCTGGCCAGGTCGGTTCTGAAAAATAGGTATATAGCTCAGTGGGCCTTACCTGGTAAACTAAAAATAGCTTCGCTTATAGCACCGCTGAGTCAGTATAAGCGCTCTACAACTCCCTCTAGTGGAAGCTCCTCCACCAGCAGTCTCAGTTTCGGACGACAAATTTGATCGATTTGGCCAGTTTTAAATAGCAACACGACGTAATACTTCGTTCATATTGGATCATCCTCACGACAATTAAGTGCACAGAGCCATGACGTTGTACTAACGGACATGGCGACACGAGTTAAGAGTCGCAACCACAATTGGTCGTAGGCTCCCGGTTCACAGTCACGCACTGACAAGTGTGGTGAAGTATGGTCAAATAACCCCCATGACTGAGATGGCGTTGGAAGGCATTCATCCAATAGTGGATTGACAAAATTCCGCAGACACTTATACTAATTATAAATTGCATATTCACCTCTGAAAGCCCATGCAATTGGCCCCAGCCATTACGGGTTTGAAGTTGTCCAATGCAAAAACCTCTAATACATTTATAATGAACGGAGCATCGTACGGAGTAACGTTTGTTATAGTTCCCAGAATGCACCGTGGTTCATAGTGTAGGTCACTGCAGTGACACTGCAGCTGACATCACTAGAGGGTGCTATTTTGGCGCTCTTGAAAGGCATTAAACCATTATTTTTTATTATTATTTTCTCAAACCAAACAAAGATTGTCAATGAACATCAGGCAGGCTGGGACATGCTGCCTCAGTAGGCAATTCAAGATTTTCAAGATTTGTTTTTCTTTTTGCATTGTGTCAACCATGAAATGGTTCATAGCCACACGCTTGAAGCATGTGTGATCTTTCTTGCCAGTATAAAAATTTTAGAATAGGTTTTACTCTTTCTGGCAATAAAACAGTTTGTGTGAAGATGTTAAAACACCAAACAGAAACCTTTGGCAAGGAATCCTCTCTGCATTAACCACAAATCTTCGTGGTGAACATGCAAACGAAATCATGCTCTGGTAATTTATGTATTGTCGTCTTTGAAACTGATTGGTCCACACACCAGCGAAAGGTCCCATATTGTAGCTGCTCACCCCAAAATATAAATTCCCTGACAGTGGCATTGTCTTTGTGCTGTCGCCTTTTGGCGTCCTCTGGTCTAACACTGTTTGAGACTACGCCATAAAGAAAGCGGTCTCTGGTGTGGACCAATCAGTTTCTAAGACAATGCATACATTAGCAGAGCATGTTTTTTGTTTGCATGTTCACCACAAAGATGTGTGGTTAATGCTGAGAGGATTCCTTGCCAAAGTTTCTGTTTGGCGTTTTAACATCTTAACACCTAAATTTTGATTTAAAGCTTTCGTGACTGCAGTAATTCATATTCTTAGTTTTTTCGGTAAAGTCACGTTGAAGAGAAACAACAAAATAATAAAATATATATAAAACAATAAAAAAATTCTCACGACGTTTCGACCATAACTCAAACGGTCATCTTCAGGTGTGTATATATTTTATTATTTTGTTGTTTCTCTTCAACGTGACTTTACCGAAAAAACTAAGAATATCTTAACACCTGTTTTATTGCCAGAAAGCGTAAAACCTATTCTTATATGTATTCGATCTTGTCAGAACTAGGTATTCGATCTTGTCAGAACTAGGAAGTAGATTCAGGTCTGAATCGTGCTTAGATGGGCGACCAACGTGCACAATAACAAAGGCCGTATCAGGCTGGGGCTACGTTGCGGACAGCAGTGCAGTCAAATCCATTTCTGTGCTGCACTTCGATGCTCTCATCTATAGGTGCACTGCCTTCAACCTGCACTGATAGGCATGGTTAAGTATGGTTAAATAATCCCCACGATAACGCACGGGTTTGGGGGGGTCCTTATCCAGCAGTGGACTCATGAGAGCTGTAAGTATACATTTGTGATCCACATATATCGTTTAAGAAAAAGTCAAGCTACAGCTCTTCAATTGCTTGCACATGCCACTGCTGGTGGAAGGACCTAACATGTACGTACGTTGAACTTCTTTCACACCGTACATAGCCAACCGTGCTAACTGGAGGAGCTCTAGACAGAGCTCTAAGTGAACATTCACCTAAGGTAGCCAGGTCTGCATACTGTCCACTGAGCAGGAAAAGGTCCACAGCAATCTGATGACCGGAGCAGTCCAGGGCCAGCTTCTTGTAGAAATCCGTTCCAGGTCGCAGGTGCTGCACATTCTGCAATCAATATGCGTTCAATCATCAACCTTGAGGAAGTGGGTGGCTACGCATGCTTAATGTCATTTCTGTGTAGGCTTAGAATAGACCCTCAGTAAATGAATGTCAGACTTGTATGCATTGCTCGCAACATTAAAAGAGGGCAGCCTTCCTGTGTAGGTTGCATTTAGGCTGATATTCCATGCAACGCTGATGTTAAAGATTCATCTTCTTTGGTTCTTTCGGTAAAGTCACGTAGAATGAGAATAAAATAATAAATTAATAAAATAACGCGGAAAAAATCTCACAATAAAAACACAATAAAATTGCGATAATTTTATTGTGTTATTGTATTTTATTAATTTATTATTTTATTCTCATTCTACGTGACTTTACCGAAAGAACCAAATAAGATGAATCCTTGCAGTCACGAAAGCTTTAAAGCGAGATGTTAAAGATGTGAATGCATTCCTACGCTTCATCCCAGCAAGAGCATTCATACAACAATATTACTGAAGACAATTAATTTCACTAAAGGGGAAGAGAAAGGGAACGGTGCACTTGGAACCAAACCAGGTCGTACAATATCACATTTATCCAGGTTTGTTTTAACACATTTTTCAAAGATCCTACATTGTCATATTTGACGCTAACCTCCTAAATGCCGGAATATAGGCGGAGGTCCATGCCTGGGCTCACCTGTGGATTGATTCACTTGCACCCACGGAAAATGTATGGCAAGATGATCTAAGATGACCGTAACTGGAGAAATGCGAAGGTCACATTTAAATGCAAATGCTGTTAAGAATTAACACACATTGGATTGAAAGGCGACATCCAGGCAAGTATTTTCATTACTGCAGATAATGGTAGAAATTGAATTTGAGGAATGCAATCTCCTTCTACTCCATATCCTGCCTCAGTCTCATCAGCTCCTGACAAAGCCCACTGGAAGCCTTTGAGGCAACGTTCCGGGTCTTATAATGCCTGATGAATGCTCGCGTCAAATTGCGAGCACGTGGCACTCACGCATTCCTTATTGCCCTCCATTAAAATGAAACGAAAACATTTTTTTCTCTTTTTTAAAGGGGAAGGAATTTTAACATTTCTATGGGGAGACAAAGGTTACTCAAAAGCTAATCCATCTTCATTTGTGTCAAGGCTAGAATTTTATACGAAAAAAAGCATTGCATGGACCTCATTTTCCACTCACTGTGTAAAACGCATCTGTCCCAGGGAACGTAACTCTGGTAGGGTGCCCATTTGGCGCTCACCGTGCTAAATTACAGAGGTCTGCTGCCCAAAAAGAAAACCACGGTGGTCGAGGTAGCTGAGCATTTAAAGTTGCATTAACACACCGTTACATTGATAATGGTTCAATTATTCAGGACCGACATTACCCCCAAATTACTTGATATCAGATCTGGCTGGACTCACTTCAGAGGTCTGGCGAGCGCTACCAGCAGACTATTCGTGACCCCGCTGTTGGTGCGCAAACCCCACACTGTGAAATATATCTCAGAGCAGTGGTATCTAAACGATGGGTTTGACTTTCCAATGTTTCGGGTGATCATATCCACGTAAGGTTTTTGTTTTCTTTCGGATCGAAAGACAATACCAGTGCAACTTAAAAAAAATATATAAAAACTGTATCTTTACTTTTCTTTTATTTAATGTATTTATATCTGAAACTTTCTTATGATATTCGTTGCGCATAGTTGCACTTTATTTTGCATGCGGTTTCAATTTACTTTGCTCGGTCAGTGTTTGTCGCTGAGATTGAGATGGGTTGCTTTTTTTGTTCTTGTTGTTCCATGCCCCTTGTACCGTTCCCATTCTGTTGTAATGAGCACTGATGGCTACTTTACTGAGATTGATATTGGCACAAAAAAGAAAGACTGTTCGTTTGATTGAAGGGTAAAATCAAGACAAGTTGGACTGTGTAGGCGAGACGGAAGAATTTAAAATTAACAGCACCAGCTGAAAAATACCAGCATCGTTAAACAAATGCTGCTTTACGAAATGAGAAATGCATAAGGTAGCTTTCTGGGCTAAAGCCCACCTTATGAACAACTTCTGCTCTTATGGACGCAATTCTATATTAGCTTGCTCCGTTAAATATTCAAACGTAGGCCAAGACGAAAAGACGTAATGGCATTTTATTACAGAAAAATCACTGCCTGTCGCTTTTGATGAAGGTGCACGATCAGGATAATATACTTGGGATAACTGATTACAATATTTTTTAAAGCGCCACGTGGTGAGACTAAACTAAACTTTTTATACGACTAGGTAAGGCCCACTGAGCTATATTGCTCTTTTTCAGATATGACGTGGCCACAAATGATAGCTCAACGAAGTGGTTTATCACATGGAATTGTATAACAGCCAAATACTCGAAATGCATGTTTCTAAATGAGGGAAAAACCAGAGGACCTGGAGAAAAATCCAAGCAACCAAGGAAAGAGAACATGCAAACTCCCGTATACCAGACTAACTATTGAACATCTCGCCACCGTGGCGCCCCTAATATATAAAATATTCTTCTTTCAAAGCGGTGTTATTGAAGTGTTGTAACACCGACCACTGCCCAACTGAGAAAATGCAAACTCCAAACATAAGCTTAGTGACGATGCGACTGGGTCCGTGACGAAAGCCACCGCGGGCGTGCACGGCGTTCCCTCGCCTTGGTGCTGGCGCGCACGTTGGGGTCCTCGCGTGACTGGAGGGCGCCGTGACCCAGGTTGGGCAGCTGCGTTTGGAAGACGGTGACGCGCCCGCCGGTCGGCGCCACGAGCTTGTGCGCGGCCTGCAGCGCGGGCCCCAGCGCGCTGCGAGTCTCGTGCGTGCGCCGGAACCGCCCGGGCAGCGCTCGCACCAGCTCCCGCACCAGCTGCCCCACGCACGACGAGTCTCGTCAGTTCACTTCGTCGTTATCGTCGCCGTCGTCGTCGCCGTCGTCATCCCGGGAATTATTGAATGGTGCGCTACTTTCATATTCATGATGATTACATCCATCATCATACTATGCATTGCCATAATCCTGTGTCGTACCAAAATCATCATCCTCATTAATCTGAAAACTAATTTCTTTAGAACTGCTTTTTGTATTTAGTTTGTTGTCCTTTCACGCACCTCCCGTGAGCAAGGTTGGCTACGTACTATGCGAAAGAAGTTCAACATACATACACCATCATCGTTATCATAATTTTCGTACTCCCATCCATTTACAGTCAACTCGCGCTTTTCCAGGGTAAAAGAAGGGGAAGGATGGCAGCTAAAGCACAGCAAGGAAGCTTAGTAGAGAGTACACAGGTGGTGCATAATGCCGGTTATCTCAGCCAGTTAACCCATGACAACTTGGTCTGTCCCGTGATCTCCTGCCAGTGAGACTTCGAGACTTCAAATGGCCTCAAAGTGTACGTAGCCTGACACAAGTTCTGTGTCAACGATGCCGTCACTCATTGCGACTGTTGTTGCGATGACACGCGATGACCACGCACGTGGGGCCGGTGGGGCATCGTGGTTACACATGCCGTGACCGTACGTGGTTTATTTTAGCACATTACCTCCTTCCTGTCCTGCAGATTGACAAGCAGATGTTCTGACGTTGGGATGAACACATCTATTGCAGAGAAACAAAATAAAAACGAAAAATTACGTTGAAAATGTGTTGTGTTTTTCAATGTCCCCTCTTCAATTCCGTTCACATTGTTTGTGTATATACAGCGCTTTTGTCAATCTACTGCTGGATGGGGATTTCTCCATCCTGTGTTGGTCATCGAGGTTATGACCATATTTCACCATTCTGGATAGTGTGCAGGTTGGTAAGGAAAGGGATACACAAGACCAGTTCAGACATCACTCTGATGTTTGCTGATGTTAGCTGTGGCCAGGAATCAAACTCACGTTGCCGGGTCCATAGGAGGAATGCACCAAACTACTGAACCACCGCTTTACCCCAGGCAATATATAATGCAAGTATATAATAATTTAATTATCGAGGATAGCCTCAATTAAGACTGAAGACTGATTTTGCCACTCACATCAGGCGCCTGACTGCGACCAGCTTCGACAGCTGTGCACGGTCCATCGTGCTCTAACTGTGGAGACTGTGAGGATGCTCGTCCACGCATTTATAATTAGCCGCGTGAACTACTGCAACATCTTCGGCTGTGCCAGCTCTGTTCACCTGCGGCCACTCCAGTCGGTGTTAAATGCTACAGCTCGTCTGACGGTTAGGAAACAGAAATATGATCCGATCACGGGTTTGATACGCGATGAGCTGCACTGGCTACCTATTAAATACAGGACTGCGCATCAATGATGCCTACTCGTCTTCAAGAGTCTCCACCAATCTATTCCGTCTAATCTCGACGATCAGTGCGTACCAGCTTCATCAGACCCAAATCGACTCCGACTACGATCCGAGGCAACCTGCTGTACACCCACGTGTGAACCTCGTGCGATACGACCAGCGCAGTTTCGGGGTCTCCGGCCCAAAGACCTGGAACACGCAACCAAGCTCATGTTCGGGATCCGTCCCCGAGTCTGAGCCAGTTCTAAAACAGACGCTAAACGGTGTTGTTGGTTCAGAGAGCCTTACTTCAACATGTGATCAATGCACATTCGTGATGGACTGTACTCATAACAGTGCGCACTATCAAATGTTCTTACTTATTTACTAAGGCCCTGCACTGAGATGTTGCGTGAGATTGGGAGTTTCACAAATGTGCTCGATTCTACCAACCGTTGCTTCGGAGTGGTGGCTCACAGGCATGGACGGCATCACCGTGCCCCTCCGAGCCACACGGTCAACGTCCACCCAATGGCGGAGTGGGTTTGGGCGTTTCACACATCTGTACGATCCACCACACCATGTTTCAACAAGGTGGATTCACAGGCTTGTGCCAGCACGTCTTCCCTAAGCTACACGATCACCCCCCCCCCACCCGCCTTCTGCTAACCGACCGCCACGGTGAAAAAGGGAGGCCATTATGGACACTCACCGTCGATGTCGGGAACGACCAGCATGTGCGGCTGCGAGAGGCTCTCGTGCATCTGGTAGAAGTGAACGCTGCTGTCAAAAGTGACGAAGCCGATCTTGGTACGGGAATCTCCAGGCAGCCTGCAATGGTATTATTATTTTTTATTTTCTATCTACGTGACTTTACCGAAAGAACCAAAGAATATAATAAAACTGTTGGGTTATTTGATCGACTTTTTTTAATCGTTTAAAAACCGAATCGTAAAAACCGCTTGGTGGAATACGACGGTTGCACGCACTGAAGTTGTAACGGATATTTACGTGCAACAATTGGATACACATCTCACGAGCATATACGTACATATATATATCGAATTTCACTCAACAACTAGTGACATTGTCTGGTGTTCAGCCGGCAGGGCATGAAGGCCACAATTGGATCACGAACCGCCCCACCCAACCTCACCTGTCCAGGTTTTCAAGCAGAGACTCGCAGACCATGGAGAGGTATCCCGAGTCGATGGCGCCATACGATACGTCGAAGAGGAACAGGTAGACGGCCGGCTGTGGCGGCCGCAGCTGCGAGAGAGACGTCACGTGGATGGGGTGAGACAAACTATTCATTTATTTTACCAGGTAAGGCCCACTGGGCTATCGACCTCTTTTTTTCAGAAGCAACGTGGCCACCACAAATGGCAGCTCAATGAAGTGGGCTTATCACATGGAAATTTAGAGCAGCCAAATACTATAAACGCATGTTGATTCTAAATGTAGAGGGAAAAAACCGGAGGATCAGAAGGAAAATCCACGCAACCAAGGGGAGAACAGCAGGCGTCAGGGTCGGGATCGAACCCACGACCTCCTGTATACCAGGCAAGGTCGTTAACATCTCCTAGCCACCGTGGCGCCCCTTTGCCACACGACGAAACTTCTCACTTGTGGGAGTCACTTAAGCCACACACACTCCTGAATGAAGCTGGTGTTTAAAGAGCCATTAGAAACCAAGTATAGGCAAGTGCTTCAATGGCAAAGGAATAACTTGATTTTGTGATACTTATAAAGAGTTATACTCAAGTTTGGTTAAACAATTATGAGATCAGCAGTCTATAAGTTACTTTTGAAAGTACAGGGTGAACCATTCTTAGAAACCCCCACTCAGTTTTAATGACGACCCTTCACTCTCTTCCTAACAGCTCCGTTGAATATTGTGATAGCTCTGCAGTAGCTTACATAGGAGAATGTTTAAAGAATGAATGAGATTTGATGAGAGAGGCATGTGCAGGCTTCGAAATAATAAAGGTTGTTTTTATATAATTTTTCCACATCATTTCAACAAGACGATTCTAAACGAATAGCCCGTAGAGTAAGAAACGTTAATTTAAAAAAAAAACAATAACGTCTCACTTATACAAATCATACCGCGAGAATGAGTTATAGTAAACATTCTATTCGGTCCTGATTTCCCTAACAGCAGTGACAAATCTCCGAGCCACAGAGCGGACCACCACTTGATACTCCATCTCAATCTATGGATTTATTTTACCCATAGACCACAATTCTCTCTCTAGCTGTGCAGACATGGTTAATTTTTGACCAATTAATACCCCTCATAGCGGGTCTTGGCTGAATTAACCATCACCGCACCAGCTGTGTGCCTATGACTAAATCATCCAGAAGGGCATTCAATCTCATAAGGTCTCAGACGTTAAGCAGCGTTGGATAACCAGAATGCATAACAGGCGCTTGCATCCTCCTGTCGGGCTACGTTGGCAGCACAGCACGGTGCAGTAAAATCTATCTGTGTACTGTACCATGTTTCAATGGATATGCTCCCAGCCTTCACCAACCCGCAATTAGCAGTGAAGTATGGTCAACGAACCACCCACAAACCACACGGTGTGCAAAAAGACCTCATCAAACCGATTAGCACGATTGGCTACGTACGGTTCAAATGAGGTTTAACGTGCATACGTAAGTATATTTGGGTTTTTGTGTGCAACTAGTGGTGACCGGGCCAATCATCAAAAACTTCCCTGGACTCACGTGGAGGGAATAAGCTGTCTGGAATCGGTGTTTGATCGCCAAGCCACCTTACCAGCTTCCGCGATTGCGCAACACTGATCTCGTACTCACCATGTACTCAGAGGGAGCGATGAATTCGACGGTGGAGTTTTGCACTTCGGGCCGTTTCTGCGGCTCCCCGTAGCTGCGCGTTATCGGGTTGTACATGAACTCCTCGGGAGCTGGGGCCGGGAAACAAAAACCCCAAAAATGTAAAACACATTCAACACAATCTGGATTACTCGCTTCAATGATTGCGACATGATCAATAGTAATCTACGTATCTCTCTTCCTCTATTCAATGACACCTAACATTATTTACGTCGGTTTAAACACAGGCCTTGCACACAAAGTAACTAGCAACACACAGACCAAATGTAAAGATGGCACTCACGAGCTACACTCTTCTCATACTGGAGATTTCGTCAACTATATATTGTGTTGGACCACATCATGAAATTAGTGTTTGCTGTCAGGCCACTTGACATCACATGGCACATGTACAATATGTCATACATGTTGAACTTCTTTCGCACAAAACATATCCAACTGTGCTAATTGGAGGGGCAGGCTCTTTATGGCATCATTATGTACATGTGGTCACGAATCTACATCTCTCTCATGTCCAACCCCTTGCCTATCTCTCATCTAACTAATCTCTGTATGGCTCAGTGAGCCATCTCTTTTGGCGGGCCATAAGTCCAGGAGCCACTCAAAAAACGTTCATGGGTCATTACGTTAACGTGGCGGTGACGCGGCCCGGCTGTAGTGCGTCTGTCACTTGTTGCAGAGGTTTATGGTTCAAATCCAGAGGCTGCCCCGGTTATGACTGCAGGTGTATTAACCAACACAATTCCCTCCGCGTTGCAGTGAACGCCAAAGACCCCGTGGCACTATTCGCAAGCGTTGGGCATTGCGTGGGCTGGTATCATGGTCCAAATTTGAAAAATTACTTGCATATTACTCAACCGGAATGTACGTAGAAATCATCGAACCCCCTACTGCGAAAGACTTGGCAGGACACTTCCTTAAAAAGAGTCATGAGACTCGGTGAACCTTTCCTGGTAATGGATTTTTTTTATAAAATAATAATATACTGGCCCGTGGGGACCTGGAGAGAGTAACCGCCGCGGCATGCAGCTCTCAACGTCGAGCTGTCCTCACCGTCGTTGATCCTGTAGCAGATGTTGCACCGCCATCGCCGCTGATCGATGAACGCGACGAATGGGTTGATGTACGTTCTGCACGAGCGGCACCGCACGATGACGCTCGACGTGATGACCGGCAGCTGCTGCATGCGCGCGATCCATGGAACGGACGCGCCGGGTCAAGGGAAGCTCTGGGTCAGCGTGTGGCTGCTGCAGTGCATGCGTCGGTGTCCAGCAACTGAGGTTAAACTAAACTATGTTTTATTTTACCAGGTGAGGCCCACTGAGCTACGTAGCTCTCTGGCCACAAATGATAGCTCAACGAAGTTGGTTTATTACGTGGACATTTACAGCAGCCAAAATACCCTAAACGCGTGATGTTCATTCGAAATGTGGAGGGAAAAACCCGAGGACCCAGAGAAAAATCCACAAATTTCATGTATGCTACGCCAGTCTTAGTAGATACTCATGAACAGCTTTTGGTATATATATATTCATTAACACAGGTATTACATGCACTGATGTTGAGAAGTGAATGATGCAATTAATTTCAGACCACATGGCCCTGTGAGAGGAAGAAAGCACAGTATTTTGCAATGAATGCCCGGGTATTAACAAACATTGCGGAAACACTGCGAATAAAATGCAACAACCACGAAGGAAAAGACACGAAATGGGATTAAACAAAAAGCCACCATGACCATGAAAGACAAAAAAGCACAACTGAAAAAATCTCGAGGCAAATGTCTGTGTCCCACCGACCCAGCCCACACATGTTGTTGGCAAATTGCTGAAGATGTGCTTGGGCATCATCGCTGTGAGAGCTAAGCGCATCTAATCCCCTGCTAAACAAACAAAACCAAGACACAAGTGCTGTAATCACAAGATCCCAGACCTCATGAGATGCATTTAATTGAGATAAGTACAATCCACCCATCTGGCTCATTCACTTGTGAAACCAAATCTTGCACGCCAATGGTGGGCTACTAAAAAGTGACTTCACACAGGCCTGCTGCTACGGAATGGTGGTATAACAATATGTACCAGGATCTATTGTAACATATGACTAAATAAGCCGGAATGCACCTGACCTCAAGAGAGCTCAGAAACTAAGTAGAGTTGAGCCTGAATAGCGCTTCTATGAGTGACTGCATGCAACAAAACGGGTGTCCACAGGCCGCTGCGAGGCTATGTAGTCAGCAGAGAGCAATGCAGAAAATCCATTATTGTACTGTACTATGCTCCTTGCCTACACAAACCCACACACCGATCAGCATGGTGAAGTGCAGTCAGATGGCCCGCACCACGCACAGGAAGGGGCTCATCCAGCAGTGGATGTAACATAATCAGTTACGAGCCATTTCTGTTGCACTCTTGTGGACAAAAACTTCAGCAAAGGTCATTAAGAGACTGCTGTAAGAGCCTATGCGTAACGGTGCACATTTATTTCTGTGCCCCCACCCCCCTGTGGTGATAAACTGAAATGTAAAAAAAAAAATTCCACACTACAATTCACGCAAAATTCTCACGTGGGCGTATGAAGCTCTAACAATGCAATTCATTTTTCTGGCTTCGAAGACTGCACATAAAAAGCGCCATTTCACATAGGAACCCCTTAACCTTTTTAGTAATTTATTTTATGACTGCACCAATTGTGTTCCTTTTTGTATTGTCAAGTTTGGCAGCCAAATCCCTAAAACCCATAACATATTTTTTTGTATTTAATCGTTTTATTTGACTTACGAGCTGAACAAATTGGCATCTCAAATAGTTACTCATTCATTGGAGTCAACATGAGGTTGCACCACATGGAGGCCACATAATCATCCCAAAAAACACGGGCTACTTAAAAAACTACGTATTCGCTGGGAAGCAAAGGTTTATAACTGGGTTTGAGCCTGTGTCTTAAGGCCCTTGGTTATGCGGTGTGGGAATGCACACCCACAGGCCGTTAACTTGAGAAGATCCCGCGCTATTCACCATGAGGGCAAGCCATTGTGCGGCGGATGTCATGGGCAATTTTGCAACGGAAAAATACCCGCGGATGACCCACCCAATGGACGGAACACGGGGGGGGCACCTTTCTGTGAGATGAGCTCTGCGCCACTCTACTGAACCGAGATTTCGTAAATGCATAATTTTCTATAGAAAACATATCCGTCCGTGTACCGTACTTCTGTGCTCCCACACCTATGCTCCTCACTTTCGGCAAATTACAACTGACAAGCATGAGAACCAAACGAAGAAAGAATCTAATTTATTTTTGTCCCTTCAATAACGGTTGCACGCATGTACCACACCTAACATCATTGGTGAGCGATACCTGAATCTGTCCCAGGTACCCCCCCCACCTTTCTCCAACAAGCAAAAACCAGCATGGTGAAGTATGGTCACAGTACCATGACCAAGACGGCTTATAAGGAGGGCCCTCGCTCAGCAGTGGACTGACGCAAAAAGGCTGCGTACGTGCACAAGTAGGGCAACCACCTTCACATGTGCTCGCCCGAGTGAAACCCTTTACCGCGAGATCTTTGAAGGGATGCAGCACCAGACCCAGGGGAAGCTTGGCCTTGGCCAGCAGCGCCGGCGACTGGGGCAGGTTCGTGAGCGTGGACCGCAGAACCCTGGAGGCAGCAAGAAAAGTTGTGCGTGAGAAAATCACCTGACTGCCGTCACCGTCGTTATTGACGTTATGACAACGGTAACAAGGACGAAAAGTGGACGGGCGGCTGTGTCATCAGAGTACTGATTGAGCATCGCTGAGATTCTGAATTTGAGTTTCTGAAAACAGAATTGTCTTCCGAGTGCACACGTTGATGGTCCACCAGCTTTTTTGAACTTTAAAAGCTGATTAAATAATAGTAGCAGTGGTGCAGTGCTATGTGCACCACACTATGAACCAGTGGATCTGAGACAGTTAAATAAAAGCAGGCGATACTTGAACCCGTCTTGTCCCCCCACTTCAGAAACCTGCACTCACAGGCTTGTCAAATAAACCCATGATTGACATTGTCTGAATGTATGTTCCCTTTAGGTTCAGACTCCAGTCATCCTCGCAGCGGCTTTTGGCTAGCCATCAAATCAAGACAGGCACTGCATTGTGTGCTTTCAGATGCGCTTCTGCGGCCTTCTAGAACGCTCTTCCTTCCGATATTAGGAAGGTACTGGAGCTATGCACTTTTAAATGTGGATTTATTTTTTTGTGTTCAGTTGATTGTCCTTCTCCCGCACCTCCAATTAGCGCAGTTGGCTATGTACGGTGCGAAACAAGTTCAACATACATACATGCAGAACCATGTGCACTACCTGAAGGCTACATAATTTGCCCCGGTCCTTACCCAAGTCATTTTGTGTGAAATTATTACGAGTAGAAGCTCTCCAATAATGATGGCTATGATGACGATGATGATGACAGTGCTGTTGCTAGCGCTGCTGGTATTCATACACAAGGCTGCACTCGTGTTTGGGCTCAGAAAAACGAGTAGCTCCATCACTTTGTCCTGGTCCCTATCAATAGTTATCCAGCATAGAAGTGTCAACATTACCTGAAATTCTCCAACAGATGGTGGCGATATGTTTACAACCTTGCCTGCTATGCAGTAGGGTCGTGGGTTCGATCCCGACCCTGACGCCTGCATATTTGGAGTTTACATGTTCTCCCGGTGGTCGTATTGATGTCTCCGGGTCCTCCGGTTTTCCTTTCCACATTTATAAACATGTGTTTAAAATATCTGGCGGCTATAAATGTCTGTGAAAAGCCACTTCGTTGAGCTATCATTTGTGGCCAGGTCACTTCTGAAAAAGAACTACATAGCTCAATGGGCCTTACCTGGTAAAATACAAATAAAATGCTAAAATAGTTAAACGATGATCATAACGGTTGGAGACAATGATGGCGCTGTGAGTAGCGGTTCATTTACTCGGGGCTGCAGTTGCGCTTGCTGAGGTGCGAGTGGATGCGGGGCCTCGGGGCGGGCGTGGGCGTGGGCGGCAGCACGAAGCGCTCCTGCAGCAGGTCAACGGGTCGCGTGTCGTCGTAGGGCATCCCTGAGGTGTCTCGCGGAGACCGCTGCAGCGCTAGACCCTGCATACGTGCGCTCAGCTCGCCCAGCCCGGAGGAGCCGCCCTGGTGGAGGGGTGGGCGACATGTGGAGGACAGGGCCCCCGGGGGGGGGGGGGGGGGGGTGAGAATGAAGGGGTGAGAATGAACATTTCAGTGTCGTCAAGCAGCCACAAGTTGTCAGTCAAGATTAAGAGGTGCCATCGTGGCCAAAGCCACCGATGACATTACACCTCAACACGTTCTGCCTTCTGCAAAATCACTACAGCTGCTGCACGGTAGCAGCTGCTGTGACATTTTCCACAACTGAATGTTTAAAAATGCGTAATAAAGTCAAGGAATATTAAGATAGTAAAAAAAATCCTCAATTATATCCAAATATTACTATTGGTATCATTTCAGAGGCAGGCAATGCTGTGTATCACAGAATAGCCCGTGGACGAGGATATCACATTACTACTTTCTCTGGAAATAGATATCACAGATAATGATGATTTTCATATTTTTTCCCCAATATTTTCCTAGCTGTGCAATCCATGTCACATCACGATTGTGCTACGTCACGTTATGGTACGAGGTATCAATTCAGATCCCTCCTGGGTGAGTGTCATTAAAGTCCTACATCAATGCACAATAACTGTTCTCCCTTCGAATGGATAGTGGCGAGGAGACGGTGCACGCATGCGTGGATAATTGAGCATAATCAAAAACCAATGGGATGATGCGAAGACACGTAGGCACAAACAAAGCCGCAAAGATAATTACTTTGCACGTACCTGTTGAGCAGGCTTTCCAATGTGTGCAGGCGAATTAGAGTAGGTAGACTGCTGGCAATTGAGCTTCATGGGGCTGTATTCTTGTGGTGGATTCCCTTGGGCGCTGGACACTGGGGGGCGATCGAGGCAGGTGTGTGTAGCATCCAAGTCTGTTGCGCAACGGAGCGGAAAGCAGAAACCAATAAAAACTTCATCCTAATGCCACTTTCATCGCATAGCATTTAACAAGTATCTTCACGAAGTGCAGTGATAAAATTAGCAGATGTGGAGCGCATTCATTATAGACTCCGGCTGCGCAACAATTTCCACTTCAATTACGCCGCATCGGTTGGGAATATCACAGGGGGTTTAATATATGCTAAGGAAAACAAACATGCGCAGGAGTTACTCGATGCCTTGGGGGCCCCGATCTTGGTCTGGGTGATATGTCTGTCAAGGCCAAAACACTGGCCAACTCTTGCACTTCCATCTCCCAGCATGGCGCCCACAGAAAAATGCCGCAATTCCGTCAACTCCTGTACCACTCTGCATGCCGTGGCTGCGCATTCAATTGAGCCCCGTGTGTGTGCATTAATGAGAATCTTCTCAGCCAAGGGTTCAACCTCCGGACGTTTACATATGAAGGGAGAACCCCCCGGGCTGCTTTTTGCACCTTATATCCTGCGGGGCTCCATTCTCACAAGTCCCTCGTACATATTTATATCGACTATTCTGCAGGGTATACAGTCAGCTCTCAATATCTGGGGTGATAGGGGGAGGGTGTGGGGGGGTGGACAAGGAGCCGCCAGGATAAAAAAACAAGAATAACGGCACAAAAGTACCGTGTTGTGATTGGTTTACTTGTAGACATGTTTGTGATCATGTCAAGGATTAAACCAATCGTCGGTTGGTTAGTTGTTAAACGCTACACTACCGCGGTAGTGCAGCAGTTAGCGCGCTGCGCTACAAACCCAGTGACCCGAGTTCAATGCCTGCTCACGGCCAACACCAGTGATGATTATCTGAACCGGTTCTGGGCCTCCCCTAGGTCGACTCAGCCTCAAATGAGTACCAGGTGCGATGTGTAAATATCGCCACTGGGGAGACAAAGGCGGCCAGGCATGGTGTTAGCCACCCACCCCCTGATGTGCTCACTAAGTGTGGTAAAGCTATACCGGGGGTTCTCTGTATGTCTTTTGATTAAACAAATCGCAGACTCTCGACTAGTGATGAGCAAGTGATGAGTAAACCAGTGGTGTGTGTGAAAACAAATACAACTGCACATTTTCTGCAAACAAGGTTAATCTCCAGCCCGGCTAATCCACCCACGAATAATCGCGAGTTACCTGTGTAGTGAGGGGTGCGCGTGGAGGCAACAGATGCCGGACATTTAGCATTCCTTGGTGTGAAGGTGTTCAAGCACACATCGTAGATGGCAGGGGCCAGCAACCTGCAGCTCCGGAGCCAGATGCGGCTCTTTAAGGACTGCTTCGTGACGTTATCAATGAAGGACCACCGTCTCGTACTCACATGCTTTGTGGCTATTAAAATAGAGTTTTTTTCGACCCCTGATGTAGGGTCATTTGTATTGTTAGGGATGGAATAATGCGTCAATTCATCAATTAATAGATTCTTAGGCTGCATAGCACACATTGAATCGAGTATGGAATAATTGTTTTCAATTCATAGATGTTGAGTATAATGGGTTCATGGCACCTCTGATGTTGCATGAGGCCTGGATTTGAACCCGGTTTTCTAGGAACGCAAAGCCGTTTGCAAAACCACTACATTTCTGTTCCCCACACAGCCTTATAAAGACTTTTGGGACAAGTGCTATTAGCACCTTTGAAGGGAGGCACAGTACACGAGAGGGTGGGTGACCAACACCATGTCTCGCCGCCTTTATCTCCCTAGTGCTGATATTTACACACCGAACCAGGTACTAATTTAAGATTGACTTGACCTAGGTGAGAACCAGGATCGGTTCAGATATTCGTCACTGTTCTTGGCCGTAGGTGGGAATCAAACCCGGGTCGCCAGATTTGTAGCGCAATGCGCAAAAAGGCAGCGAACACACACGCATGCACGAACCTGAAAAAGCTATAAAATACTGACATTTAATAAATGTGTTAATGTGTATTACTCACCAGAATAGCCACCATCCTCCAGGGCATCATAGCCACAGTTCTCTTGAAGGTCACTGCTGCAGGAAGCGTCTGAATCTAGTCATCATCACCACCGTAACCACCATCATTTAGCAGCATTAACACCAACATCTCTGTTATCCCCAATACCCACCAACAGCAGCCAATAAGCTTTAGAGCAAACACAAAGACCCCCGTATAGCCTTAACAGACTGTTGGGGCAAGTGCTGTTAGCCAGCACCTATGAACACTGGCACGGCACACAAGGGGGTGGGTGGCAAACATTACACCCGAGCACCTTTGTCTCCCCAGTGGAGATGTTTACACACCGCACCATTAACTCATTTGAGGCTTAGCCGACCTACAGGAAGCCCAGGACCAGTTCAGATAATAGTCACTGGTCTTGGCCATGAGCGGTAATCGAACTCGGATCGTGGGTTCATAGCGTAGTGCACTAACCGCTACACTACTGGAGTAGACAAACACACACTTATACGCACTTAAAGCTAAAAAGATAGGGCTTCTACGATCGATTAAAGAACAGAATGATAACACTTGTCCGGACAATGACTGACGTCTGGGTGAGCGTGTCATCACCTGAGTCGTCGTCAGCTGCAGACGAGGAGGATAAAGGCGTAGCGGTGCCGGAGCCGTCACAGTATGATGAGCTGACGGCTCTCATCCCTGTTGGAAATGCAAGCGGCTTAGTCACAAAAAAAACAAATAATTGGCATTCATGCGAAGTTAAGAACACAGTGCACTAAGCTAATCAGAGAAAGACGCCGACTCCAACTGATTAGCCAGAGGAGGTGAGCACACCCACCACCATCCCAAAACCTGCTGTCAACGCCGCATACTTTCTTACCATATTTTATGTGCTGTGCTTACGAACAGCGCAGACAGCAAAGGAAATTGAAGTCAAAGCTACACGGTGCAGTGAAACCATGGCTAGATTCATGCACACTTGTGCAAGCTTTTCGGAACATAAATGTGAATTGTATTTTTTGTGGCAATGAAAAGGATTTATTGCAGTTCGGACGCCATTGCAGCGGCAAAACGTTCAGCGATGCTCACGGCGGTAACGGCACAGCTTCGTTAATATGAAAGCGGCAGCTAGGGATGGAAACAATGAAAGTGTGTCGCGCTTCTAGCCCAACTCGCAAATGAGGCCTTAAGTGCCGGCCAGTCACAAATATCTTTAAGTGGCCTTCATAAAAAAAAACACACGCAACATTTAACAGTTAAAATATCAACACTGTGCCATTATTTAGTCCACGATCGTCACTGTGTACCAAATTATATTTAAATCGAACAGGTTACATGAGCCTACTTGAAACGACGGGTCACACAGATGCGAACCAATGCTGTTGCCAAACCAGGAAAAGAACCTGCCATTAAAAAGCTTTCCTCTCTTAACACTTGCCAGGAATTTCCAATCACAATGACATCATGAGGGGGGAAGCGGGGAGTTGGGGACAGTTGTCTTGATCAAAGAGCTGATTCAAAACTTAACATGTAAATGAAAATTGCTCTGGGCAAATACAGGTCCCTTTACAAAAATAATGGCGAGGTGGCTGTGACTTTCGTGACAATTTTGCTCCTTTAAGTTTTTCTCATCCAGATGTCATACGTCTACAATACAAGCGCCACATCGCACAGCGTATAAAACAACCGGAGCGGTGCATTGCGGACAGCTTTACTTTATTTGCCAGGTTCCTGGCATTCAATGGGGCCTGTGGGTAAAAGTGGGGAAGTATCACCTGTAGGATAGCCGGCGCTCAGGTGCGTCGGATGACTCGTAAACGCTGCTTCGGCTGAGTGAGCGGGCCCCATGGACTCCGCATTCGGCGCGTTCTGCGCGTTCGGCGCGGCCGGCGGCACCACGCCTGGTGTAGCCTGTGATCGTGGTGGATGCGCGCTGGTGGTGAAGTTAGCTGCTGGCAGCGGTCGTCTCGTGGTCATGTCGGCCTCGCTCCTGGGCTGCTGCTGCTGCTGCTGTGTTCCTGAGGCAGAAGCAGCAGTTGCCAGCGCTGAGCGATGAGGAGCAGCGGCATTGCTGCTTGGGGGTCGCAGGGTCGCCGAAGCTGCTGCTGCTGCTGCTGCCGGCGGCCGTGGGGTGGGCGCCGCCGTTGCTGCCGCTTGGTGGCCGGGCGGCAAAGCGTACGGGGTCGTTGCCGTCACATTCGGGACTTGCTGGAAGAACCCAGCATGCGTCTGATAGCCATAACTTGAGGCGGGCCCTTTCTGGTAGCAATTCGGCTCGAGGGGTGGGCCACGTGTGGTCGCCAGTTGAGGAGGAGGACAACGTTCATGAGACATAGGCATGGCCGCGTAAGGCTGTGAGGGTTTTCTTGGTCCATACGGTTCCCCTGCCTGCACATTGGGCGTCGCCATCCGGTGCTGCATGGGAGGAGGAAGGCCTCTTGGGGCACCAGTGAGGTGTCCCGGGAGGGGCGACTGCCCCACCACAGGAGCTAGGCTCCCCGGTGGCTGCCCACTGGTCAGTGGTGGCATGGTGTGATGCCCGTAGGGGTGCTGTGCGGAAAGGGGAGGGTGGTGGTTGTGGTGGTGGTAGGACGTGGGAGGGAATACCAGGCCGTTTGTGTCCACCGAGTGAGCAGGCTGGGACTGGTAGGGGTAAGCATTGTAGGGGCCAAGCTGTGGGATGGCTGGGTACCAGTTATGTGCAGAACCTGCAAAAAGTAACACGAAAATAGAAGATAAACCTGACAAGTGCCATGCCAATATCCAGTTTTGACTTATTTCAAACAACATATCAGAATATATATTTTAAATTTCACAATGCTAATGCAAATCCCTATTTATATAATTATGCATTATAGCAACCAAACAGTATATTGTGCAAGAGGTTCTTTGTTTCGTATTATCACGTTATGTTTAAACCATTTTAAAGATAAACGTGTACATTAACGTATGTATATGTTGCGGTAAAAATATTTCTCACAAGACAAGCCGATTTGACAAAAATAAAGTGCTAAATTACATACACTACTCTTTAATATTTGCTTAAAATATATTTTATAAATGTTTGGCCATTTGACAATCCACTCCTGGATGAAGGCCTCTCTTCAGCATGTCGGTCATGGGGCTTGTTTGACCTTGCTTCACTACGCTGCTCAGTGAGGGTTGATGAAGGGGTAGAGGGGGGTGCAGAACCACTTCAGATATCACTCACCACTGATGATAATCAAATTGCGCTATGAAGGGCCATTGCCCGAAACGTCGTTTATTTGTTTACTTTTTGTTATACCAGGCAAGGCCCACTTAGCTATAAAGCTATTTTTTCAGAAGTGATTTGGTCACAAATGAAAACTCAACTTAGCAGCTTATCATGTGGAAAATTAGAGTAGCCAAATACACTAAACGCATTTTTCTAAAAGTGGAGGGAAAAACCGGAGGAACTGGAGAAAAATCCACGGGCACAACCTGCAAACTCCAAATATACAGGGGTCAGGGTCGGAATTACTTCGTATACCAAGCGAGGTAGTAAACATCTCGCCACTGTGGCATCCGTAATACATACATATTCTTATTAAAGCAGTGTTATTGAGCAATGTGTTGAGTTTTGTTTGTAATCAAACTCAGGTCACCAGATCGAAGTATGCCAAACACTGCCCAACTGTTTCTGGCTTATTTGGAACACATATATATTGAGTTGGAGATTATTTTTTAACCTCCAATAGAAATGTTGTCATGAAGGCACATTTTAAAAACTGGAATCTCAAACCCAGCATATTTAATAACATCTCACTGGAATTATCCCAAACCATTTCGGAGCATGTGACAGTGAGTGGCAAGATTTTTTTGCAGTCTTTGCTCCAATTCCAACCTTTTCCACATTTCTTCCTTTTTCAACTCTGGTTTCCTGGCACATTCGCTTCACAAAAAGACCCACGTGTCCCTATTTAGACACTTTTCTCACATCCTGTGACCAGCAATCCCTGCTCAAAAAATTGACAGCTATTCTGAAACCGAAAAAAGCAATTTATTTTATTTCTATAATCTGAGCAAGTGAGGGGGGGGGGGAGAGAGACTGCATAATTTATGGCCATCTGTCCATCCCACATTACATCCCTTGGTGTTTTCAATTAAAGCAAACATTTTGATCATTTAAATTGTGTTCATGTGTACATTTTTTTCTGCTATTTTGAGTCAAAACATCAAATTTCAAGGTTATAATGTAGATTTTCACACAATGTTATCACTTCAACAAAACATGTCCGAGACTGGTAAATGTAGGGGGATAGTGCAAAAAAAAATAATTTCAGGTACAGATAAGATAAAAAAAGTTAATTGTGGTATTCCATCAAGAAACCATGCATTGATATGCATGGAATTAATCTCACAAAAAAGATGATCTGTTCTATAAATACACTGGAATTTTGTTACAATAATGTATACAACTCAAAAAGAGACCACAGTTTGGTAAAATGTGCAGAAAGGATTAAGGCAGAATGTTATCATATAATAATTAGCAATTCCGATAACTGTGGATAACAGACAAGCCCCCAGGCTGTGTTTTGCCAAAGGATAAACAAGAACATTGCTTTCAAATCAGAAATATTATAACAACAAAGTTTGAACAAACTCAGCTGTGCTGGTCCAATATTCACAGCACCACCCCCCACTACAATTGGGTAATGCAATTTACGTGCCGACACAATGTTACCTTTCAGCTACGAGAGACGTGTTATGTTGTCTGAAGGACAACCCAGGCATTGTTGTGTTTTTAGGCTAAGGTTCAAGTAAAATTAACTACAGTGTACATACAAGCAGCTGGACAGAACAAACAAAGCAAATGCTGGACCCCACAATGCATACACGGAGGCAGGTGTTGGTATAATTTGTCATCGCAGTTGCCACGTTTCCATCACGACCAGTCTGTAACAAAACTGTTCCCCCAAAGAGAGGAGACTTTCCAGGACCAAATCGATCACCGACCAGTACGGCTTGGTACATGGCCACATAAGTGAGAGTTAGATCAACCTCCACAACCATCCATGCTGTCACGAGGGGTCAATGTAGGGGGGAAAAGACGTGAGTACTATGACATCACTTGCTTATTTTAACTCTTCAGCCATGTTTGGGGTTTAAAATAGGAACTATTTAAGACCAAATAATTTACAGCCCCTTGTCAATCCACTGGTTGGCTACGTACGGTGCGAAAAAAGTTCAAAATATTTTAGTACATCTATATACGAAGGCCTCTCCCTCACCGTGTTCGTCGCGGAGATTGTTTAACCTCACTTCGCTGGTCAGCGTGGGTTGTGAGGCAAAGATAAAGGTCCACATATTACTCGCCACTGATGTTAGCCATGTCTGGGAGTTGAATTAGGTCACCGGGCGTATAGTGTAGTGCCCTCACCACATCTCCAAAGTTACGCACCAACACAATATCCACGTTAAACGTTGGTGGGTTGGGAGAGGACCGAGTCCGGCTAGGAACACGTCGGGAGGAGGAGCCGCTTAATCCTGGGCCAATAACTCCGCCAGCTCCTCGTCAGTGCCTGTGGCAGGACTGGGCGGGTAGAGCTCAGTTTTCACACGGAGATAGAGGTTAAAGCGCAGAGCCGAGTTATTTCTCATTTCTTATCCCCCCCCTCCTCCCATCGTTCATTAACGAGTATCTATGTGTGTGGCAATGACAGCTTCACACAGCCTTAAATAATAATTAATCCGAGAGAGTGTGAGTGCCTTAGAGCGACAGAGGGGCGAGACGAGACAGAGGTGAGAGAGTGAGTGTCTGACAGAGGTGAGAGAGAGTGAGTGCCTGACAGAGGTGAGAGTGAGTGAGTGCCTGACAAAGGTGAGAGTGAGTGCATGACAGAGGTGAGAGAGAGTGAGTGCCTGACAGAGGTGAGAGAGAGTGAGTGCCTGACAGAGGTGAGAGTGAGTGCATGACAGAGGTGAGAGTGCCTGACAGAGAGAGGTGAGAGAGAGTGAGTGCCTGACAGAGACAGGTGAGAGTGAGTGCCTGACAGAGGTGAGAGCGAGTGAGTGCCTGACAGAGAGAGGTGAGAGAGTGAGTGCCTGACAGAGAGAGGTGAGAGAGAGTGAGTGTCTGACAGAGGTGAGAGAGAGTGAGTGTCTGACAGAGGTGAGAGAGAGTGAGTGTCTGACAGAGGTGGGAGAGTGAGTGCCTGACAGAGGTGAGAGAGAGTGAGTGCCTGACAGAGAGAGGTGAGAGGGAGTGAGTGCCTGACAGAGAGAGGTGAGAGAGAGTGAGTGCCTGACAGAGAGAGGTGAGAGAGAGTGAGTGTCTGACAGAGACAGGTGAGAGTGAGTGCCTGACAGAGACAGGTGAGAGTGAGTGCCTGACAGAGAGAGGTGAGAGAGTGAGTGCCTGACAGAGAGAGGTGAGAGAGGGTGAGTGCCTGACAGAGAGAGAGTGAGGGAGGAGAGAGAGTGAGTGCCTGACAGAGAGAGAGTGAGAGAGGAGAGTGCCTGACAGAGAGGAGAGAGAAGCGTGAGAGAGGAGGCGAGAGAGAGGCGTGAGAGGGGAGAGACAGAGGCGAGAGAGAGGAGAGGCGTGAGAGAGGAGAGTGAGAGAGGAGAGACAGAGGCGTGAGGGAGGCGGAGGAGAGAGAGGTGAGAGAGGCGAGACAGAGGCGAGAGAGGAGAGTGACAGAGGCGAGAGAGAGGAGAGTGAGAGAGGAGAGAGAGGAGAGACAGAGGCGAGAGGAGAGAGAGAGAGAGGAGAGACAGAGGCGAGAGAGAGGAGAGAGGCGTGAGAGGGGCGAGTGAGGGGAGAGAGAGAGAGAGGAGAAAGGCGTGAGAGGGCCCAAATCGCCTCGTCTCCCACCCCCTCCATTCATTAAGAGCGCCGCTCACCGTTGTCGCGCTGCAGCTCGCGTCCTGGAGCCGACATGGCTCCCCCTCCCCCTCTCACCACCGACGACGACTGCGAACAAAGGGAGAGGATGAAATAAAATCGGAATAATCGATTCAAGTCGAGAGCGACTAAAAGTGAAGAAATTAGCGGCAGGGACGCCGCGGTCCAAGGCGAGCCGTGATGCCGTACAGTCCGGGTACAGTGCGCCGGCAGTGACGTCACTACGATGGGGAGGAGGGGGCGAGAGGGGGATGGAGGGGGGAGATAGGGGGGGGCGAGGGGGGGGGGGACGAGAAGGGGGGGTGGCGAGAGGGGGGGGGGGGGAGAAGGGGGGGGCGAGAGGGGCTTCAGAATAATAAAATGTTCTATGGTGGTTTCGGTAAAGTCACGTTGATATATTTTTTTTAAATAAAAATAAAGTGATTCGAAATATCACGACGTTTCGATCGCAACACAAGCGGCCGTCATCAGGATCAGGCTGTGATATTTTAAATCACTTGTTTATTATTATGTTTTTTTCTATCTACGTGACTTTACCGAAAGAAGAACCATAGAATATCAATTCCTGCAGTCACGAAAGTTGTAAGTCAACATTTGGCTTCAGAATAACTTGATGCGACAGGATTCGCCCGACGTAGCTTCGTATTGAAGTTGAATAACTTGATCGGTAACGTAACGCACACGATACAGTATTCATTCCCAATCTTACAAGCGACCCCTTTAACGATCCATTACGTGTCACTTGACTAAACTCTCTGAAATGACAATTACATTGAATTGTTGTACGAAGGAGACGGACTTGACTTGCTTTGTTCTCCAAAGAGAAAACAAACCGTAATGGTTATTTTGCGTTGTGCGACGATGGGAGGTTTTTGTTTTTCCACTTGTAGCAATAAAACAGAGGTTAATTTGAGACGTTTAAATAACCAAGCCCACGCCTCGTCAATCCATACCGTTTACTAGCCCGTATCTTGTACAGGGAAATTGAGTTTTCAGGTCCATACAGCGTACAGCCGTTTCAATACGGGCAAAAAATGTTGTTTGCACCTTGTGATGGGACTTTTGTAGGATGAATGTTGAGACTTATAAGGGGCACGGGGTGACCTATAAGGTCTGGCTTGCTCTGTAATCAGGTAGGGCACTGATAAGGGGTGGATAGGTGTAGTGACGTAGAATGAGTTACCGAAGCACGTGCCGCTGGGAGATTGGTAGACAATAGAAGTAGGGGTAGACAATAGAAGTAGGGGTGGACAATAGAAGTAGGGGTAGACAATAGAAGTAGGGGTAGACAATAGAAGTAGGGGTGGACAATAGAAGTAGGGGTAGACAATAGAAGTAGTGGTAGACAATAGAAGTAGTGGTGGACAATAGAAGTAGTGGTAGACAATAGGAGTAGGGGTAGACAATAGAAGTAGGGGTGGACAATAGAAGTAGGGGTAGACAATAGAAGTAGTGGTAGACAGTAGAAGTAGGGGTAGACAATAGAAGTGGGGGTGGACAATAGAAGTATGTGTGGACAATAGAAGTAGGGGTAGACAATAGAAGTAGTGGTAGACAATAGAAGTAGTGGTAGACAATGGAAGTAGGGGTAGACAATAGAAGTAGTGGTAGACAATAGAAGTAGGGGTAGACAATAGAAGTAGGGGTAGACAATAGAAGTAGGGGTGGACAATAGAAGTAGGGGTAGACAATAGAAGTAGGGGTAGACAATAGAAGTATGGGTGGACAATAGAAGTAGGGGTAGACAATAGAAGTAGGGGTGGACAATAGAAGTAGTGGTAGATAATAGAAGTAGGGGTAGACAATAGAAGTAGGGGTAGACAATAGAAGTGGGGGTGGACAATAGAAGTATGGGTGGACAATAGAAGTAGGGGTAGACAATAGAAGTAGGGGTAGACAATAGAAGTAGGGGTAGACAATGGAAGTAGGGGTAGACAATAGAAGTAGTGGTAGACAATAGAAGTAGGGGTAGACAATAGAAGTAGGGGTAGACAATAGAAGTGGGGGTGGACAATAGAAGTAGGGGGTAGACAATAGAAGTAGGGGTGGACAATAGAAGTGGGGGTGGACAATAGAAGTAGGGGTAGACAATAGAAGTAGGGGTAGACAATGGAAGTAGGGGTAGACAATAGAAGTAGGGGTAGACAATAAAAGTGGGGGTGGACAATAGAAGTGGGGGTAGACAATAGAAGTAGTGGTAGACAATGGAAGTAGGGGTAGACAATAGAAGTAGACAATAGAAGTGGGGGTGGACAATAGAAGTAGGGGTAGACAATAGAAGTAGTGGTAGACAATGGAAGGAGGGGTAGACAATAGAAGTGGGGCTGGACAATAGAAGTAGGGGTAGACAATAGAAGTGGTAGACAATGGAAGGAGGGGTAGACAATAGAAGTAGTGGTAGACAATGGAAGTATGGGTAGACAATGGAAGTAGGGGTAGACAATGGAAGTAGGTGTAGACAATAAAAGTAGACAATAGAAGTTGGGGTAGCAGCCCGTTCTACCGGTTGCACCTGGGGGCAAGGCACGGAGCCACCTGGGGGATCCAGAGGGGTGCGGGGCCGAGGGATGAGCCTGGCCACGCCCTTCAGGATACAAGGCGAGCCCCGACTCACAGTCGGGGCCGCTGGGGTGGGGACTGGGTCTGTTCGTGCTGCCGGCCTCGTCATCGTCGCCGCTCTGCAAGCCGTAGGGCTGGCAGCGTGCTGGCTGTCCCCACCCGGTATGGAGTTGTCCCCGAAGGCTGTGAAGGCCGGAAATAAAGAGGGAGTACTTCCAACTCGTGTCTCGTTTAGAACACTGCACAGGTGTGAAATGGGCACCCCACTATTTCCAAGGAATCTAGTCTGCTCGTGGCAAAAAAAAAACATGTAACAACGCATGCTCCGATAATGTACGCATTGTCTTTGAAAGTTACCACCACCAGAGACGACACGTCCTCCTTTACATGGCCTTGTCTCAACCAGTGTCACACCAGAGAACGCCAAAAGGTGAACGGTGCAAAGGCAATGCAAGTGTTGAATTAGTAATAGCTCGGGTTTGAGCGGATATTATCTATGGGGCCTTTTATGGTGGCCAAAAAAGGTCCATAAACAAAGTGGCAGTTCGCCATCACTGGCTAAAGTCGACTCTGCTGGTGAGAGCCTGCGTGTTGAAACCTGTCCAGTCCGCTTGTTCCGAATGAACGCTGCTGAAATGATGCAGTCCCAAGAAGGCCGTGTGGCTGACGGGATGTGTAAAAACAACAACAAAACGTTAACATTTGATGTGGTGAGACATGTGAAGATATATTGTCAAATTATTTTGTTTCAATGGAATGCAGTATGGTTGTGTAATTACTTGAAAGAAGGATATACACACGAATGAACTGTGTAATGTGCATCGTTGTAACGTGTAATTTAGCTTGATCAAATACTATACGTTAATGTTTAGGTATATATACTGTATATATCGTCAACGTTCATGGGCACTGCATCTCAGATTCGCTGAAAATCAGCCAGCCAGGCGATCAGTTGGCACCATCAACCATTGCCCAATCTCTGCGGTCCTTTATATATCCGGATGTTTTCAGTTCATTAATGGGCAATGTGTGGGAGGGAACCGGAAAAAACCCATCCGTGCAGGGGGCAACACTCTATCCCATATACAGATGGAACAGATAATTATATATTCTATGGTTATTTTGGTAAAGTCACGGAGATAGAAAAATTATTAAAATATCACGACGTTTCGATCGCAACGCAAGCGATTGAAACGACAGCTTGTGTTGTGATCGAAACGTCGTGATATTTTTAATGACAATTTATTTTTCTATTTATGGATCTTTACCAAAAGAACCATGCAGTGAGGGAAAAAAGTATTTGATCCCCTGCTGATTTTGTACGTTTGCCCACTGACAAAGAAATGATCAGTCTATAATTTTAATGGTAGGTTTATTTGAACAGTGAGAGACAATAACAACAACAAAAATCCAGAAAACCGCATGTCAAAAATGTTATAAATTGGTTTGCATTTTAATGAAGGAAATAAGTATTTGACCCCTCTGCAAAACATGACTTAGTACTTGGTGGCAAAACCCTTGTTGGCAATCACAGAGGTCAGACGTTTCTTGTAGTTGGCCACCAGGTTTGCACACATCTCAGGAGGGATTTTGTCCCACTCCTCTTTGCAGATCTTCTCCAAGTCATTAAGGTTTCGAGGCTGACGTTTGGCAACTTGAACCTTCAGCTCCCTCCACAGATTTTTCTATGGGATTAAGGTCTGGAGACTGGCTAGGCCACTCCAGGACCTTAATGTGCTTCTTCTTGAGCCACTCCTTTGTTGCATTGGCCGTGTGTTTTGGGTCATTGTCATGCTGGAATACCCATCCACGACCCATTTTCAATGCCCTGGCTGAGGGAAGGAGGTTCTCACCCAAGATTTGACGGTACATGGCCCCGTCCATCGTTCCATTGATGTGGTGAAGTTGTCCTGTCCCCTTAGCAGAAAAACACCCCCAAAGCATAATGTTTCCACCTCCATGTTTGACGGTGGGGAAGGTGTTCTTGGGGTCATAGGCAGCATTCCTCCTCCAAACACGGCGAGTTGAGTTGATGCCAAAGAGCTCCATTTTGGTCTCTACTGACCACAACACTTTCACCCAGTTGTCCTCTGAATCATTCAGATGTTCATTGGCAAACTTCAGATGGGCATGTATATGTGCTTTTTTGAGCAGGGGGACCTTCCGGGCGCTGCAGGATTTCAGTCCTTCACGGCGTAGTGTGTTACCAATTGTTTTCTTGCTGACTATGGTCCCAGCTGCCTTGAGATCATTGACAAGATCCTTCCGTGTAGTTCTGGGCTGATTCCTCACCGTTCTCATGATCATTGCAACTCCACGAGGTGAGATCTTGCATGGAGCCCCAGGCCGAGGGAGATTGACAGTTCTTTTGTGTTTCTTCCATTTGCGAATAATCGCACCAACTGTTGTCACCTTCTCACCAAGCTGCTTGGCGAATGTCTTTTAGCCCATTCCAGCCTTGTGTACGTCTACAATCTTGTCCCTGACATCCTTGGAGAGCTCTTTGGTCTTAGCCATGGTGGAGAGTTTGGAATCTGATTGATTGCTTCTGTGGACAGGTGTCTTTTATACAGGCAACAATCTGAGATTAGGAGCACTCCCTTTAAGAGTGTGCTCCTAATCTCAGCTCGTTACCTGTATAAAAGACACCTGG